AAGAAGGTCAAAGTCTATGAAACAGGTAAATGGAAATAAATTGAAGCACTAGCAGAAACCCATATATATACAAACCCTTTAGATATTTCCTTCTCCTCTAGGCCTTGATTATCGTAAATTGGACTTATTTTGTCAAGCTCATCAGAAGAATCTTTGATTTCTCTTTGCAGCATCTGAAGCTGCCTCCCTGCTTCCTCCTAGAAGCAAGTTCAAATATGTTGGATGAAATATTTCCATCGTGGAAGGAGTGATAAGACTATGAAAGTATAGAAGAAAAGGTGTGTCCTCGTAATAATACCTTCGCCCTCATGCTTCCAGAGATCTTCTCTTCTAGGTCTTTGACATCAAGCTCAAGTTCCGTGTGCTTTTTTATAGCTTCTGTTCGCCTCTTCTCTACTGTTTCTTTCTCTTTGACTAAACCTTGAATTTCCTTAGTCAACTCTTTCAATTTTTTGTCAAAGTCCTTGGACCTTTCATGAGCATCCAGAACAGTCTCATACATTTTGCTTGATGGTTGAGAAACCTTGGCTCGAGCTTCATCTATCTTTTTATTTTAACAAGAAACAACTTTTATGAAAAGGAAAAATGTTCAAGATACAAACCCAAACAAAGTTTTAGCATTAATTACGTGCAAATGCAGATGACGAATATCAAACGAATTAGCATATTGTATCACATTTTCGAGGAATTAAAAAACATGACAAAGCCTAACATAACAAGCAAATTAGCATATGCACACAACTATGCATTAGCATAAATAGTATGCCGATAGAACTCTCTTTTATTATTGATATTCATAAGGCATTACAAGAGGCCAAGGGAGAATTAGAGAGCTCCTGAACCTCTCCCAAACAGTCCTTATACAAAATAACAAAAAGATACCCCTTCCCTCCTACCAAAAGTGTATTTACCATATTCACAAAATACCCATTCAGCCCCCTGACGAACTAGGGCCCACTAGCACTTTTTCCTTACGCCCTACAGTCTCTTCCTTTATGTCGAATACGCTTTCTTCATTGGGGCCTATCATATGCTAAAGCTAATTACTATGCAACATTTTTTTGGCATTTATGATAGGAAATAAATGATAGGATCAAGTGCTCTTCTATTTATTCTTTTTGTGAGAGGGTGAAATTTTCTGCCTCGTGGTGGTATTCCAATCAAACAAAATTCTTTTGTAATTATAGACTTCTTATGATTATTAAGAATTGGGAGGAGATCCTTTTGTAAAGAGGCAGGGTTCTCCTTACCCTTGGCCCTTAGCTATTCCTTTCTTTTGTTGAATACACTTTTTTGTTTCTTAACCAAATATATATATATACACACACCATGCAGCATTTCTTTAGAAAATTTTAAAACATGCCTTCAGGATAGCTAGTTTCACCATCCACTTGATTTGCGTACATTTGAAATGCACATCAAATAATTACTAGTTAAGTCAATTGCTTCCCGCAAGTTGCCCCGTGAGCAAAAAGAATAAAATACAGACTAACGTAACAAGAGAGATAGTAATAAGGTCTATTCAAATCCAAACTTCCATAACAACTAACCTCTACAAGTTTCTGACGAGCATCATGAAGTTCTTTGTCATAAATAGTATACTCTAAAGATTTTCGCTGCTTATCCAACTGTTGATATTTTCTAAGTTCTTCTTTTTCTTCATCAAGTTCTTTCAATCTCTCATCAAGATACTGAACAACTTGAATTATCTGCTTTCTTTTATTGCCTGATAAGAAAAGAGAAAATTAAACACAAATTAGAAGTAAAAAATTTCAATCGGTTTATATAACAAGGTGAAGACATACTGGTCTCATGCATTATTTTCAAACTTTCACGTCTTCTCTCCTCATAGACTCGAGTGCCACCAATTTCCTTGAGTAGATCCAGCCGCTCAGAATCCTTCATCAATGTCAATGATGCTATCTGTGCACAGTTTGAAAGATAAGGAATATAGGTTGAATTGATAGTAAATGAGATCAACTTAAAAACTCGAGTACTTATATTACAGATAATGAAGTTCAAATATACTCCTACCTTTCCTTGCTGCACAACATAGTAAGGATTTGAGCGAGAGAATCCAGCACTTTCCAATAAATTCATAACTTCCGTTTTCCTAAAAATCAATATAGCTCAAGTCATAAACAGGTACTGAGACGAACACCTATGAACCTTAACACAATGAGGGGGAGAAGTGAGGGTGGGAACTGAGAGAGAGAAAAAGCTTCTAACGTAATATGCTTCCCATCTAAGAAATACTCATCCTTTTTCTGCCCAATTGTTCGACGCAAGCGCACCTCTTCCTTATCTACCTTCAAAAAAACAAATATATACATGTGTGCCATATCATTTACCGATTTGGATGGATATTTGTAAATGTTTGGTTTTCAATACCATTAAACGACAAAGCATTACACATGCTGAAAAAACATTGAAATTTTTTATTTAAAAAAAAAAGAAAAAAAAACTTTCAGAATGAGAAAAAAAGAGTATACTGGGTGGGAAAACATGTATACAAAAAGTTCAAAGGGGAACAAGCTCAGGGAAACTTGAAAATAGAAAACATTTACTAACAAGAAAATACCTAACATATTTACTAGCAGCAAACAATAATAAACAAGAAACCGACATAAACAGCAATGATTTAGATTTTATTATGTCACAAACACTATATATCCAATAATACAATCATTTCACACATAAAAATAAAAGCAAGCCCATTTTTATAAGAAATGATAGCATGCAAAAAAATCTTACTGGTATGCGATTGTCAGTATTATCAAACACAATTTCTACAAAAGCAGTTACAACTTGGTGACCTGCACCTTCCTGTACAAAATAGATACACAAAATATGAAAGATTAGAGAATGACTAAAATTTATAGTCTGTAATAAAGTATTTATCAAATTAAAATTTTGAAATACATACATGGAGCAAAGCATGCCTCTCTTCACTCCGCAAATTTTGAAAGAGGTCGCTCAGTACAAACCTTATAGCTATCCAACATACAAACCAAATGATTAAGTAAACAACCAATATGTTAGAGTAATAAAACTACTAGAAACTGAAGGGTAAAGAAGTGCAAAAATGGTGATATTCTCTTACCATGGAAAAAATTAGTCTTGCCAGATCCATTCGCACCAACTGCATAGTATGTTGAACAGGGGTAAGATGCTCATAAATGAAAAATCATGAAGTATCCACGAATTATAGCTTGAAAAAAGCATTGAAAATAACAATTACTAGTGTTGTAACAGTTCTGAAGGAAACGTTAATTTCCATGAAGATGAGAAGTCTTAAGACAAATATAATAATATGCCAAGAAAGAAATTCTACTGTATCTTTTATATCTTTTGAGCATTTGTATCTTTTCATTTCATCAATGAGAAGTTCGTGTCTTGTTAAAAAAAATAAACATGACCAAATGATGGATGGAAGTTCTACTGTATTATGGTAGACAAGACATTTATAAAATCAAGAAGAGAAAAATGCCAGTCACATCAAGTGTCATTCATTCAGATGATATGCCACTAGTAAGGGAGCACCATGCATTTGAGACTAGGATGAATAAGATCCGGAACCAGTTCGTTCTCTATAAACACGGAAGTGAAAAACAGTTAAGACAAAGTAAGCATACACCGAGATTATTATGTCCTTACCAACACAATTTATTTTTGAACTGAAAGGCTCGGTAGCAACTTGTTCTCTATAGCTCTTAAACCCTTCAATTATAACCTACATAAAAGCTTAATAATTATTTCCATGTATGTCGTACGGGAGAAGGGGGAAAGCACTAAAAACAACATTGTTCGACAAAATGATACACGACATATCGACTAACAATTACCTGCTTTATGTGCATCTTGCAATCCCAGACTATTGAATATCTACGAGGTAGAGGGAAATCAACTCTCAGTAATTTTCGAACTGACTACCTAAAAGAAATTAGTAGACGAACTAGAAACTAATGCTTTATTCACCAAAACCAAATGAGAACAAAATAATACTTCATGAAACTAATATTCAAGCAACATAAATGCGGCACCATAAAGAAAACCGTGGAATTAGAAAACAAACCAGTCAAAGCCGAATCGTAGGGTTCGTTCGTAAAGCGACTTCACGAATTCACTCGCACCCGGAAACGTCAAGCTCTCAAACAGTTTGGAAACAGAAGAACGTGCTGTGAATTACCAGTTTGAGGTGACTGTAAGAGCTTGTATGCTGCAGCAGAGTGAAATGGAACAGTTTTGCTGAGCTTAAACGTAAATTACAGTGTGCGAATTGGCTATGAGCGCAGTGAGAGGGTGGACTGAATCAAATTATATGGATACCTTGTGATTCCGCAGATTAGGGTAAGTGTGACGGTCGCATCGACGTTGAGGGAGTAGATTCCATTGGGCGGGGAAGGCGCGAAGAGCAAAAGGCAGCAAATCGACAGCAGCTGGAACTAGTGGTAAATTGTAATTTACACGTCGTTTCTTCTGCTATGTGCACCGAAGCATTGACTGGTCTTGATCGGTAACACTTCCGAGCCGTGCTTTTCTTTTTCTTTTTTTTAGTACGCCGTGTTTCCTTCTGAATTTTTTTTTTAATAATAAAATTTTTAAAACTTATTCCAAATATATACTATTACTCAAACTATTTCCAAATAACATTTGGAAATAGAAAGACATTAATTTTGATATGTAAATATGCGGTCACTATTGTTGACATTTTTGAATTCTGTGGTTTGAATTCTGTAATGATACTAAATTATTAATTTTGATATGTAAATATGCGGTCACTATTGTTGACATTTTTGTTAATGTGTGATAGATATTTCACTCATATTCCATTGATTAATCAGGGTCGCTGTTCTGAGGGTAGATGAGATAATTTTTTGACAAATATGAATGTGTTAATTTTTGCTACTCGAATGAAGCGTGTACCCAACCCAATTTCCATTATTTTTTTGAGATGGGTTGGGTTCGCCAATTATTATGTTTGTAAAAGTATGAATTTTATTGAATATTTATAAACAAAACCTATGGTTTTGATAGGGCAAGGACAACGGAGACATAGCAACTACGAAAAAGGGAGGGAGAAGTAATAATAATAACTTAGGTTATATATATCGGGCTTCACAATTTTCCAAACCTATGATCCGAACCGATGTTTCGATACAAACCATACTTTTTTATAACCCAACCCATCGAGCCGTTGGATTATTTGAAGTTGAACACCCTTAATCATTATATTATTAACTTTGTGATAAAGATGGTAATTACTTTTCTCAGACAAAAAAAATGAAAAAACATGGTAATTACTTTCATCTAAGCATGTGAAGTGCACTTCATCTACCTCATGGAGCCATGAAACCGTTTAGAAAACCAATGTTAAGCTTCATCACAGCTACATTAAACATACGAACTTAATTTAGTTTAACACCAAAAATTCTGAGGCAGTCCTTAAAAAAAAAAAAAAAAAAAAGTCTTTGTTGTCTAATTTTGTTTAATTCATTCCTTTATGTTTGAACATTAATATTAGATGTAAATAAGTTTATTAGTCCTTGTATCTTTTTTTGTTTTTATGGTGAGTTAATTGGACTACATGTGTCTATATATATGTGTATTTTATTATTAATGAAGATACACATAAGAATATTTTTTTATCTCAGATAGATGTTAAAATTTGTTGATACTATACTTACATTACTTAATACATAATCAACTAGTATAAATTAAAAAAAAAAGTTATCAAGTAAAAAAAAAACTATAAATTTATACAAATTTCTTAAATTTTTGAGAGAGGAATTAAAACTTTCCTCTCATTTTTTGCCTCCCCTGAATCTAAATTTTTGTTGATTCGCTTTCAGGTAAGTTTATAATTAGAAAATTCTAACATTTACCAATGATTATAGACTAAATTAAAAGAGTACAAAAAATACAAGGAACTCAAATAAATAAATAAATAAATATATATATATATATATTAGAGAAAACTATTGAAACGTGGAAAAAGGAAATCAACAATAAATTTTAATCCTTTCCCAAACAGGTCCTTGAATTGATACGCTGGCGATAAGATACCATTCCAATGGCTGCTTCGCTTTCTGCTGCTACCGCAATTCCACGCCCAAGCATTAGCATCATCAATTCAATCTCTTCATTCAACTTCTCCAACTGCTTAAGCACCGGTATTCAACCGCGAAGCTTCGTCATCAAGTGTGAATCAAGTGCATCGGCAGCGGACGAGACGCCGCCGGCAAAGAGCCGGAAACTCGAGATCGGCTCCCCCGTAATCGTAGTCGAGGCTCCCAAAATGATAAAGACCGCAGCCTCAGTTCCATGCCTGCGGGTCAATTCCGGCATAATCAACCCCGGCGACGTTGGCAGGTGAGTGGCCGATCGGCCGTCCTCCTCTCTCTTCGGCATTTCTTCGAACATATTATGTGCGTCGCCTGTAACCAATTCCTGTTGCGTTGCCCTAACATGTATGCTCGAACAGAATCGTGTCGAGAAAACCTAAAGACGTGTGGGCCGTGCGGCTTAAAGTGGGGACTTACCTCATCGATGGAAGGTATTTTAAACCATTAGAGCTCGATCAGTAGCTTTATGAGGCCGAATAGGGGTTCAATTTGAAGGTTCTGAGTTTCGAAATCCACCTTCCATTTTCATTTCCTTTTTATTGATTGGGATGAATGGATGATGATCTTGTTATGCAGACCACTGTCCATATCTATGCCATGGAATCCTAACTCGATTTCTTGATGCAGCAGAAATGCGACTTAACCATACATTTAGGAGTCTCCGTCCGGAATAATTCGTAGGTTTTCCCCCTTTTTAATAATTCGTAGTTCTACGATAGTATATTGACTTCGTGGAATTCACGATAAAATTCAAACTATTAAGTATACATATTAATTTATCAACGGAAAGCTTACTTGAGCATCCTCATTTATTTATTAGTAAAAGTTGTAATGCACGGAAGAAAAATTCAACTTCGGGGTAGAGATTTCAAACATTGATGTTATAATTACTTAACTAGTCAAGTGATGCAAGACAACTTTTATTTATTTTAAATCATGCCTAGTTCATAATATTCAGTAATGAAGGGTTAATAATCTACGTGCTCACTCGATACATGTATTATCTACAAATTACTTACTAAAGCTATATAATTGTCACATTATCATATAAAGATCTACCGGTCAATATGTACCTCGTACATTTAATTGTTTAATATTGAATATGTTTAACTTATGATAAAAGGTTATCACGAATTACATATATATATATTTTTAACATATCACACGTTATTTTAATTGATATTAATAAGTTATTTTATATAATTGGCTATTATTATGAGTTATCATTAACCATGGTTAATTATGCAACTTAACCCTGTAAAATTAGCAAAGTATAGTTTTGTTGTTAAGAAATCTTACTTATTTTGAGGTGTCGTAGATTCTAGTATTAGCTCTATAATTGTAACGTAATATTCAAAATAAAAATAATTCAACAACTACCACATTAAAATAGAAAAAACAAAAATCATACATATCCAACCATAAATCAATTAGTTAAACACGTATTTAAAGAAAGGGAAATAGTTAAGCATATTTCAAAAATCAATTGGTCAAGGCGTCTCTAACTCTATATTCTATAGGTCAAGGCATCTCTAATTCTATCTTCTAGATATAATGTTCGAATAATCACTAATACGTTCAGTGTTATACTATAATAAAAAGTAGACAATAAATAATTTTCAAAAACGAGATATTTGTAATTATTTTTTGCTAAATTACAAAAACTACTTATGAACTTTACCATTCGTTTGAAACATACTCGTGTCCTTTAAAAAGTTCTAATATTGCCCTTTACATTTATAACATTGATGCAAATATTAGTTAGTATTATTTAACATAAATGGTTGACTTTGACCTACAATTTATCTTAAAAGTTTTATTCCTTCATTATCAATAAAGTTTGCTTATTCGTTGTCTACTATTTTTTACCATAATACCTATTTTAAAAACGACTAACATATGAAAAAACGAGCATAGTTTAATTGACATATATCTCACGTTGTGAGTTCGATACCTCACCCCCACATATTGTACTAAAAAAATAACTAACATATTTCCATATTTTATCTATTTTTCATACACATTCAAAGCGAGCTTTAAATACCACGTCGTTTGAGATTATTACACATCAATTTTATTTTTTAAATATTAACGAATGTTTCATAAAATAGTATTTTTGAAATGTGTACGAAAAGTCTCAACAGTATTACTCAAACATTTGAAATGATATAGATATTTTTTATGGAAAAAACTTGGCTCCTTAGAGGTTTTTTTTTTATATTTTTTTTAGGTAAGGTCCTTAGAGTTGAGGAGAGACTTTCTCTTTAATATCATTAAATTTTTTACAACTCATCATATTTTTAAAATTTTTGCATTTATCTGTTCAAATATTTAATAGTGTTAGGGAGAAAGTTTCTTCAAAACTTGAGCAAATTTTTTTATTTTTTTTTTAAATGTAGGGCAAACTAGAGGGAAATTGAGATTTTTGTCCCTCCTCTTAATTCAATTTGGACTTCTACTCCCTTTTTAAAATCTATTATTCATGACCCCTCTCTTCGCATTTTTGATTCATTTTTATTTTTTTAACTTGGTAAAATTACCAAAATATCTTTATTAGTAAAAAAAAAAAACAAATTTCTTCGCAATATTTTTTTTCCTCCACCAAAACTCACCCTCTTTTTAATTTGAACATAATATGGAAAAAATCTAAACTTTTTAATTTAACAGTCAATTACAAATCTAAAAAATCATACTTTTAAACTTGAAAAAACAATCACGAATGGTAAAAAAATATAACTCAAATAGTCAATTACCAATTTAATATGAAAAAGATCTATTTAACCGTTTAATATGGAAAATCAAATTTAAGTAATTACAGCATAAAATTATAAATCTCCATATCTAATTTGATTACATAAATCTCGACATTAAATACTAAATATTGCATTAAATGGTAAGAGTGCCTAAGAATAGATATTGCATTAAATGGTAGTAAGAGGGGCAGTAATTAAAAAAGGAAGGTGTGTGGATCATGGGTCGGGATACATAGCTCGATTTTTTTTTAGACACTTATCATGCAATTGTTTTTATGCAATTATGGATTTGTGTGGATTATGTTTACTTATTGATTTTTCTTTGTGTAGATTATGTTATTGGTTTTAAGATTCTTAAAATTCAAATTAAAAAGAAATGACGAGGTTTAAGGTGAGAGATTAGTGGGGAAGAATAATTTTACTTTTAAAAAATAGGAATATTTTGATAATTTTACACAGATAAAAAGTGAAAATGGTCGTAAATTAAAATGGGAGGGGTCAAATTAGTTTTTTTTTTTAAAGGGTGAAAAACCAAATGAATTATTGCATGGGTTAATTTCTGAAAGTGTGGATACTTGTAATTTAGATTTATTTATCTAGGGGCAACTAGAGGAATGACTATATTAAATAGTTCTACTTGAAAAATGGCCAAAAGTATCCAATATCAAAAAAATGGCTATATGAGACAATTATACTTCAATACTAGAATTTAATATAGACAAATATACCCTCCCACCAAAATAGCTAAATTATCCTACTATTACCCCTTAAATTTTGTGGCAAAAATACCCTTGAAACAACTTTTTGCCATAGCTTAATTTTAGGAAATAAAATAGTGAATTAAAGTTCAAATTTTTCAAAAATAAAATCTAGATTTAGAAATTTCAAAATTTCAAAAACAAAATCGGTTAAATGAATGATTTGAAAAAAAAAATATATATATAATGTAGAAAAATATGAAAAATATATGGCCTAATAAAACGTAAATAAAAGTGGAAAATGATTAGAAAAAATAAGATTGAAAAATCAAATCCTATTTTTAAAACTATGGAGGGGGTAGCTACATTGGGAGACACGAAAATTAATACCAAACTCGCATACCGTCTAATTCTTGCCAAAAAAAACGTAATCGATAAAAAAAAACATATAAAAAAGGTTACAAATAAAGGTAATGACAAACTAGAAACGTGGTGAAGCACCTGGACGAGGATGAAGCTAAGGTATTTTCTTATTTATACGTCGTATAAAATGATACTTACGTGGTACTGAAAATAGTTTACTTACACTATAATGAGTGACTTGCACCATTTCATTACTTAGTTTTTACCATGGTTAAAGATAATCTCTATCTAATATATGGTAAATAAGCGTATAGACAGAATAAAGAAAAAATGCGTTAGACAGAATAAAGACAGAGTAAATAAAGATACACACAGTACCTGGATTTTTCTTGACTGCAAAAGACGAGATGAGATCATATGATTGCTCACTATAATGACTCATGAGGAATGAGACTCATTTTCCTTTCCAATCATCTTCCCTATCTTCTACTACTTTCTCTCAACTCTCAATAATTATATTACCTTAAAAATCGATTATTCCAATGTTTGCTTCTAATTTTTGCAAATTAGGACTCAAATGCACAAATTAAAATGRGATTCAAATGACACMATCYGCACATCCAAAGAATCAAGCTAGAGTAGAGCTTYACTTCGAATGAATATGACAACAAACAGTTTGGATGACATATTYTGTGGCAGAAAACTATAAGGAGAAGAAAAAAACTTTCGGTTCTTGTATTGTTGAGTTGAATTCTTCTTATAATCTAAATGCTTACCAGATAAATTTCGATCACGGAATCGGAGACTTGAACTTTACAAGTCATTCTCTGCTTGATTTGTTGATCCCTCCATGTCTAAATGATGGGTTGATAAAAAATGGGAATTGATGAGTGTAATAATATTTAGAAGATGTGATTGCAACATAATTTACTAGTTAGGTTTGTTATAGATTTTAATTAGATTATATGTTGGAGACAAATTAATAATATTTTAAAAATGTTTGAATGATACAGGCAGATTCGGTTGTTTGATAATGTAGATTTGGTAGCTATAGAGATTTTGCTGGTTTGGTTATGGAGAGATTTTAGGGATTTGGTAGTTTAATAATGTGATTTATGGAATGTGGGTGGTTGAAAATTGGAGGGGTAAAATGGAGAAATGATGCAAGGGAAATATGAACATGAAATGTGCGGAGGGGTAAATTCAGGAAATCAACTATGGTCATATATCCAATTTACGAAAATTTTAGTCATTTTTCATTATGATATCGGGTAGCAATTTCTTAGGATTTCCCATTTTTCTAAACGAACAATGTTACAAAGGGTCGAGCCCAATAGACATCCGCGTGGAGGATGGGCCCAACAAGAAAAGGGCTTAATAGGCCCAAAAGTGATGGAGCGGAGTCATAGTCCATTGCAACTCAATGGAACGAAATTCCGAAAGTGCCCATTATATAATGACGAAGTAGACATTCCTCGTTTAACACTTTGCACTCATTTTGGTTTTCCCCACCCCCAACTCTCTCTTCCAAGGCTGCAGAGACCATGACTGTGATGACTCCCGCTCCGGTCGATGTAAACTTTCTATCTCCACACCTCTTTCCCATCCTCTCTCCTTCTTCTTCCTCTCTCTCTCTCCGTCCTTCTCTGTTCTGTATAATTCAGATGTAAACCTTACTTTCTTGCGAGCTTAGTCAATCGTTTATGTTTTTTCCCTCTTGCAAATTCAAGTATTAACCTTAATTTTGTTCTCTATCAGTTGCCTGCTTTTCATCATTTATAGAATCTTCTTGCTGGGTAATCTAGGGCTTTGCGTTCAATTTCTGTCTTCCTTCCACTCCGCTGCAATTTTGTTATTGTCCTTGCCGACTGGCCTCTGGATTTTACAGAGATATCTGAACTAATCAAGATTTGGTTTCGTGGATCCGATTGCTTTCTTTAATTTGTGCTTCCTCTTTTTTCCTTCACAGCAACAAGAGGACGAGGAGATGCTTGTACCGCACTCGGATTTGGCCGAGAATAATCACCAACCTATGGAAGGTTTACTTCCATCACATTTGATCTGTGCAATTATCTCCCCTTACTAATCGAATGTTTTTTTTCTTTAGCTCTTGATCTAATTGAATTGTTTCGTTGTTTGAGATCATTTCGTGGCTGTTCGCTTTGCTCAAATAATCTGGAAATTTTGAGCAGAAGTTTCCAAATTGGCTACTGTCAAACTTGTTTTGTTCTTCTATTCTTTGCTTCTTCTTCTTCTTCTTCTTCTTCTTCTTCTTCTTCTTTTTTTAAAGAGTTGCTACAGATTTTCTTAATAGCTTAATCAATGCTAGACGAAGGTATGCATTGTCATATCAACTGCTATTTTTGGGAATTTAGTTTTTGTGACAAATTAGTTTACTATTTCTCTATCGGTGTTATACTGGAGGGGTTTATGTGGATTTTTCTTTTAAGTATAAAGTCTGGAAAGTGCGTTCATAGTCTCAATTTATATTAACAAAATTTTAAAGTTTTCCCATTTTTGTTTCTCTATCCTGTGCAAACCACTAGTTGTTCCACAATCTGAAACGGGAGCCACAGTAGAGAACCAGCCCGTCGAGGATCCCCCATCATCGAGATTTACATGGAGAATTGATAACTTTACACGGCTCAACATAAAGAAGCTATATTCTGAAGTCTTTATTGTTGGTGGATATAAATGGTATACTTTCTTTTCATTTTCGATACTATCTTTTACTTCAATATATATATTTATGTGCGCATATTTAACAACTAAGTTATTCCAACCTCTTTCATTCAGGCGAATACTTATTTTCCCGAAAGGAAACAATGTAGATCATTTGTCTATGTACTTGGATGTTGCTGACTCTGCAAGTTTGCCGTATGGGTGGAGCAGATATGCCCAATTCAGCTTGGGTGTCATCAATCAAATCCACAACAAATATTCAGTGAGAAAAGGTTCATTCTCAGTATTTTTTTTAATTATAAAATTTGGGTTAATTTATTGGCAATGTCATAGACTTATGCACTGTGATTGTGTTGATATTTGTTTACTTTTGAAAAATTGGATGCATTTTTTTTTAGTAAACAAGAAGAGGATATAATGTAGTTATTTGTGGGAGGGGTTTTTCTCCACCCTGCCCTTAGGCTGTTCGCCCCTTTTGATAATACAACCTTTTGCCTCTTATTAAAAAAAAGAGAAGATAATGTATATTTCTAAAGTTGTACAAGGATTCAAATACATTTAAATATTAATTCTATACAGCTGTTCTTGCTGGAACGACTTCCTATTATGGTCAAGAACTTGAGTTTCCTTTACTACTATTATTATTGTGTTTTTCTCTCTTCTGTTGACTCACCCTATTATGGTCAAGGACTTGAGTTTCTTTTATGACTACCATTATTTTTGGTTTTGTTCTTCTGTTTACACACCATTTGATAGTGTAGTAATCCAGCGATTGATCTTTTTATGACATTATTCTACTGAACAATTGCAGATACACAACACCAGTTCAATGCAAGGGAAAGCGATTGGGGCTTCACGTCGTTCATGCCCCTCAGTGAATTGTATGACCCTACCAGAGGCTATCTTGTCAATGATACCCTAATAGTTGAAGCGGAGGTCCTTGTTCGAAGAGTGGTCGATTATTGGACATATGATTCAAAAAAAGAGACAGGTTTTGTTGGTCTTAAAAATCAGGGTGCAACATGTTATATGAACTCTCTTCTTCAAACTCTTTATCACATTCCATATTTCCGGAAGGTCAGTGATTATGTTGTTTCTTCAGGTCCTATTACCTTACTACATCAATTTGTAGATATAGATTAGAATCTATCAATTTTAGTTACTATTTTTTAATCATGCACCGTGTTCATTCCCTCATGAGATTTACAAACTCTAGTTTAACATTGAAAATAAGTCAATCTGTTTGAACTATTATTTCAGGCTGTGTACCATATGCCTACCACAGAAAATGATATGCCATCTGCAAGCATCCCTTTAGCTCTGCAGAGCTTATTTTATAAGCTCCAGTACAGTGACAGCAGTGTAGCAACAAAAGAATTAACCAAATCTTTTGGATGGGACACATATGATTCTTTTATGCAGCATGATGTCCAGGAATTGAACAGGGTTCTATCTGAAAAACTTGAAGATAAAATGAAGGTAAATAATCCGACAATGCTCCCCTTCATAATTATTGTAGGATGTACCAGATAAAATATATGACCACGATTCACAAGCTTTCCTTATAGTAAAGAAAGAAAGGATTGCATGCCATGACGATCTTTATGATCCAAAGATGTTAAAAGGCATTCACCATTACTTCATTCATTGTACAGGGAACTGTTGTGGAGGGAACTATACAGAAATTGTTTGAAGGGCATCACATGAATTACATTGAATGCATAAACGTGGACTATAAGTCAACGAGAAAGGAATCATTTTATGGTAATAACTCTTGGGTTTAGAATCAATATGACCATGCATGGACTTCATTTCTTGTTTGTTGGACAGTGATAATACTTTATAATGTTTTAATTGCAGATCTTCAGCTTGATGTCAAGGGCTGTCGTGATGTGTATGCTTCTTTTGACAAGTATGTAGAAGTAGAACGCCTTGAGGGTGATAACAAGTATCATGCAGAGCAGTATGGGTTGCAGGTTGGTTGTATAATAGTTTTATGGGACATGACAAATCATTCATTTGAACAGTTTAAATAATTTATCTTAACTAGTTAAGCAAATATATCGATATCACTTCAGTTAGTGCTCAAGTAAGTTTAGTGACTCAAATTCGGGCAGTGAGTATCAAGACCTACCTTTGTGATTTTTATTTCCCCGTTCCATTCACAGTCGAGTGGATTGTGCGAGAATTGTTTCAGTCTTTTGTCCAAGGTTTTCATATTAAAAATTTATAGTTATAGGATATCTTGATATTGATTTGGATATGAGGGACAAATAGGTGTCCTATGTGTGCAGTGCTCTGTAGTTGTTTTTTTTTATAAGAAACATAGAGAATGCATTCAAATCAAAAGAGCCCAAAAAGGCAAAGACAGCCTAAAGGCGGAGGGTAGAGGAAACTCTCCCAAAAGAAACTATATAATCGCAGCCTTCCAATCTTGTAAAATAAAAAAAGACTGTAGTTACAAAAAACCTTCTTATTTGTTAGTCTTTGATATTTATTCTCGGAAGCACTTTCAGCTCCAAAGGATTCATATTTGGAACAACACTAGTTTCAAGTTGAGTTTGGAGAGCCAGATTGGGGTTTAAACGTAGTATAGATATCATATGTCAGTTTCTTTTACAGAACCAATCCTCACACTGATCCAAAGATCTCACTAGAAGGCACCCCAATGGGCATAAATAGAAAAATACGGATAATTACAAAAATGTTTATAGAGGGAAGGATAAAGGATCCTCACACCAGACCAAAGAGCGTACTAGAAAGAACCGAATTAGCTTAAATAACGAAAGAAGGATAGTTATAGAACTGGATACTGTATGAGCAGAGCACCAAAGAAAGGGCAAAGCTTTTGCAGAATCCTCAAATATGTTATTTTCCTTGAAAGAATCTTGCAAATTTCTTCTATTTGTTTGAAATCATAGTTACCAAAGAATGGATTTTCTTGCATTGATCCATAAAATCTTCCATTTTCTCTTGAAAGTAATAAAGTATAGCCGCACCACACATAATTTTGTCAAAGAGTTGCTTTTAAGGTTCCAGGGGAACTCTTTGTAAACTAAAGATTTGTAGCATTGGGCACCTCCATTCAAAAGAGGATGGCAATCTAAGAAGAAATATCCCATTATTTCATTATCATTTCTGCAAAGGGTGCACCATGTTTGTGATAATTGGATACTTGAATGAATGTTTGGGTTTCTATCATTACTGTTAATTTTTTTTCAACTGTGGCTTCCAAAAAGGAAATGAAATTTTCTTGAATCCAGATTATGCTACAAAACTTCACTAGTTCAATTTTAAAAAAATGAAACCAATTTTCATTAGGATTTCATTATTTCAATGTGAAGTCGCTTCTTGGGTGGAATAAAAGTACAAGCCCAGAGCAAGTTGCCAAATCCTCCTTCCCTATACCACATTCTCAAAAGAGATATTCACTAGCAACCTTTTTTGGCATTTTGAACAGAGACTTGTGGTATGATGGGAACTGACTACTGTCAAGTTTATAAGAAATTGGCAAAGCTAGATATTGTGTGGTTTTAGAGTTATTTCTGCTGCTGCTTTTTTGGTGATGAAATAATTTTTTCTGATGGTAACTATACTATAGTATGTGGGGCATGAAAATTTTTCGGTTCTAGGTGGTTTTTGCTTTTGTTTTGTTGGGGTGGAGGTCTTTGATAGAATGTGACTTTTGAAGAGAGAAAAGGTGGAATAAGTATAGTATCTTTCCAGTTTAGTTGATAGATGATAATGTTTCCTTCTGTTGCTTTTGGTGATTTCAGATTCTCATCCTAAATAAATTTCTTTCCATTTTTCAATTTATTGGTTTTTTACCTTTTCCCTCATGTCAAATTACCAATACAGGATGCTAAGAAGGGTGTATTGTTCATCGACTTCCCTCCTGTTCTTCAACTCCAGCTGAAGCGATTTGAGTATGACTTCATGAGAGACACCATGGTTAAGGTCAGTTGCAGATACAGTTATCTCACCATCATTCTTTTAGTGCTTCTTCCAGTGACCCAACAATTGTAAATATTCAAGTAGTTTTGACAACTCGTCCCGTCCTTTAGGCTGTCTTGTTTGGCTTTTTGCTCTTTTGAATGATCTCTTTCTCGTTTCTTATCAAATGTATATACAGTCAAGTTGTTTGGACATTATTATTCGTTGCATTGAATTTATTTAATAGGCATAAGATATTGACTACTTTTTTCTTTTTTCTTCCTGTAAATTGAAAATAAACTATGATAACTGTGGATTATTTTTCTTGTTGTTGACTATGGAATAAGCAATTGTATATACTTTGACTTGCAAAAAAGGTTAGTGTCTATATTTCTTTCATTCAGGCAACCAGTTAGATTGTTTCCTTATGTCTAATTCTGTAGATCAATGGATTGGAAGCCCTTTCTCTAGGTTGGCTTCCTTTTTCGGGGCTGTGTTTTTGTATGCCCGTGTAATTCTGTTTTGTTTTCATTTTTCTCAATGAAAAGTTCGGTTTCTTATCAAAAAAAGAAATTCTGTAGATCAATGATCGATATGAATTTCCCCTTCAACTGGACCTTGACCGAGAAAATGGGAAGTATTTATCACCAGACGCTGATAGAACTGTGCGGAATCTTTACACACTCCATAGGTACTATTGATCTCTGATAATTTGCTCATATGGAGTCACTGACTCTCTTGTCTGTGTGCATGTCCTACCAACTGCTTATGATATTGTCTTTATCTTATTAAATATGAATTTGAAGCTTTTGAAGTCTAATGGTTCTTCAAAAACATGTATTGAAAATTATTTGTTTTTGTTTCAAATATGATGCAAAAAGACCAATAGTTTCAAATTAACTTCTTGTAATTATTTTTTATTTTACGAGTTGGAGGCAAAAATATTATTCTCTCACCCTTTTGGTTCTTAATCACGAATATTTTTGTAACATATTTTCATTATTTAGAGCTTTTTTTATTATTAAAAATTTTCTTGTTGGTTTTAGGGCCAGGCATCTAGTCCCCTTGTTGTACTTTCTATTCTTTAAAGGAAGTTATTGTGGAAGAAAATTAACTTCTGGCATCCTTTTTCCTATTCTAGTTATTTTATTTCTTGAGTGGAAATGACAGAAGGTATTATATTAGTGAATAAGATAGTAGACTTCTTCAAGTTAGAAGATGCTATATTAGCGAAACTTGGTATATGCATGATGATTGAATCGAAGAAGGAAAATAAATGGTAAAAGTAAATCATTTGTTCTTTTCAACAAGATACGAACTTTTCATGGATAGATAAGAAGGGAAAAAAAAGGTAAATCACTTTTTTATTTTTGTTGTTTATTAAATTTCAATTGCTTGAACATAGTTTGAATGTTGTAAAAGTATTTATGTGCCATTTGAATTTATGGACAGGATTTGCATGCTTGTCATAATTATATAGCAGGCCACCACCTTTGCACTTTGAAAACTCTTAATAACTTTTTAACACCTTGTTCGATGTATTTTAAAATATATTATTCAGTTTATTGTTTTATTTTTATTTTTTGGGTTCAGTGTATTGGTTCACAGCGGTGGGGTGCATGGTGGACATTATTATGCCTTCATCAGGCCAACCCTTTCAGAACAATGGTATTTTATGGATTTTATGTTACCGATAATCCTGTCTATTCTTGATTTGCATTTAGCACTTATCGTTTTGTAATCTTCATCATTTTGCTTTGATGGATTAACTCAACTATATGAAATTTCAGTGTTGTAAAAGGAAACAAAAACCATGGAAGTTTGTAATAGCTGTAAGATTGTGGGGATAAATATAAGGTGCATCTGGTCACTTTTTGTTATTTCTTTCTTATCAAGATTTTATACTTACCCGCAGCCCTTTAGAGGCTGCCCATATGATCTAACATATAGGAAATGTCAAAGTCCCAGGTTCAATCCTTTTAATAAGCTTAAAACTAAGAAGTCTTATAGGAACATAGTGTTGGAAGCGTGCATGGTATCCATAAGATTAATTGGGGTGGATCCCCATCAGGATATCCATGATTATAACCAAAAAGGCCTAAGAAGAAGAATATGGCTATCGCTATTGAGGAAAGATGGAAACTTTGTGAAACTCGAAACTAGTTTTTAGATTTCTTTTTGTTTATTTTATCCTTGAAAGTTTGATATGGTACAATTATGTTAGAATTAAATTCCAATAAGCTCAAACAACTGAGCAACTGGCTTATTTTGTGTTGCTCTCACGTGGCATGAACTTTTGGTCTTGCAGGTATAAATTTGATGATGAGCGTGTAACGAAAGAGGATGTGAAAAGGGCACTCGAGGAGCAATATGGTGGCGAGGAAGAGGTATCATTGTTCATCTCCATGTGAATCTTTTCATTGATGAATTAATAATTTTAATTTGTTGCGGATATATTTCTGCTTTTGATTTTCTATCTTTTGTTTAACAGTTACCTCAGACGAATCCTGGATTCAACAACACTCCTTTTAAGTTCACCAAATACTCAAATGCATATATGCTCGTCTATATACGTGAAAGTGACAAAGACAAAGTAATTTGTAACGTGGATGAGAAGGACATTGCTGAACATCTCAGGGTATGGTGCTGTTGTTGCATGCTTCTTAGGTGTGATATCAGACAAATGCAAGCCAAGTAGTAGGATACTTGGTTTGGAAACTAATTAAAGGATTTTGAGCTTCGCTTCTTTATCTCGTAAGGATCTGATGCATAACAGATCTACTTGGTTCCATTATCTTCTAAGGATCTGAAGAATAACAGATCGAATCTTGAGTATTTTAGGTCACCTAAATTCATGGGCTTGTTCATAGAGCAAAATGTTGGGAAAAAATTTGGGTTGAAAATAATTTGGTATCCGAAGCTTGACTTCTAATATATTTTTTTTCTGCTTGTTTTTGTGTTTTGATTCAACTACTTACTTTTACGTGACCAATATCAGGAAAGGCTGAAGAAAGAACAAGAAGAAAAGGAACACAAGAAGAAAGAAAAAGCTGAGGCACACCTTTATACTATCATAAAGGTTTAAAGTTGAATCATCCTCCTATTAGTTTGCAAGCGGCTTTCAATCTTCAACCCTGTGTGTTTATTTGATTTGACAAATTTTCATGGCTATTAGGTTGCTCGAGATGATGATCTAGTTGAACAAATTGGAAAAGATATCTTTTTTGATCTTGTTGATCATGACAAAGTAAGGAGCTTCCGCATCCAAAAGCAAATGCCATTTAACCTTTTCAAGGTACACCCTCTGTTTCACTGCCAGCGCTGTAATCTTCTCAGCAATTTCTGGGTATTAGTAATCTAGTTGGCCAACCTAAATTATTATTATATGTGCAGGAGGAGGTGGCTAAAGAATTTGGTATACCCATCCAGTTTCAGCGATACTGGCTCTGGGCAAAACGTCAGAACCATACTTATAGGCCCAACCGACCATTGACACCTATGGAGGAAGCGCAATCCGTATGTATCTCTTATTTTTTAAATGGGAAAATACATTTATTCTAATGGCTGGGACAGAGCTAGAAGTTCTATAAGGGGCCAAATTTTACATTCAAACTTTTTATATATATATTAAATTATAAAAATTGAAGGGGCAAATTACTGGGGAAACTTTAGAAACTTATTTTTTCTATATATCTAATACAAATTGACGGGGAAATACACCCCCTCCACACTCACATACACTGAGGGGGTGCCTCCCATCCATCTTAAAGGTTTGGTAAATATTATTGTTTTACTTTATAGATGGCTGGAAAATGGCATGGCTTTTTGCTAAAAGCACTGCTTTCATTAAGAAAAATGAACGAGATACAAGTAAAGGCCACACAACACAAAGATGCAAACTGGGAAACAAATAAGGAGAAGAAAAACTACAAAATGAAATACGTGGTGTCTCTTAACAGAAAAAAGAAAATAAAGGAATCTTACCAACTGAAAAGGAGGAATGTCAAAAAAAAAAAATTATGGTCAGAAACTTAAAGGGAATTAGTGTAGCGAGCATCATAAACAAACATCTTCCATGCTTTCTTTATCTTCTGAAACACCCTCCTCTTTCTCCCAAGCCTATTATATGGCTAATCAATCGCTAGCAAACTTATTGTTATTGGCTTCACAAGCAGGTGTGGCTTCTTGAATATACTATTCATTTTAAATCTGCACTTTATGCTTGGGTTGGATGCTGTAGATCTACTTCTACAACTGTTTGCTCCTTGTTAATGGCAGTCCCTAATTTTCTTAAGATGCTCACTCCAAGTCTCACGGTTCATCTCTGGAATGAATAGGTTGGACAATTAAGAGAGGTATCAAATAAGGTTCATAATGCCGAGTTGAAGTTATTACTGGAGGTGGAATATGGAGTGGTAACTTTCTTTTCCATACAAACTTCTTAGTATTGTGACTATTTCCTTGTCCCTATATGTACATGATTTTCTACAATTTCATTCAGGATTCACGCCCTATCGCTCCTCCAGACAAGACAAAAGATGATATCTTACTATTTTTTAAGCTTTATGAACCTGAGAAAGAAGAGCTGCGGTATTTGATACTTTGTTTGTTTTTCCTCCCTACAATTTTATTGATTTGGATTGATGATGAGTTGACATGAGGTTTTACTCTTTTAAATCTTTGCATAATTCTAGATATGTGGGAAGACTCTTCGTAAAGGGTAATGGGAAGCCTTTTGAAATATTGACGAGGTTGAATGAAATGGCTGGTTATGCTCCAGAAGAAGAGATTGAACTTTATGAGGTTTGGGGTTCATGCTTCCTATTTATTGGTTATAATAAAAAAGCTAAATTTCTATCTACATACTTCATTTATTTATTTTTTTTCCCCTTTCCTCTGTTACTTCTTTCCTCTCTTATTTAATAAGAAATATTTATACTGATTAAAATTTAAATGATGTAGCAAAGGGGTGAGTTTGAAAAATTGAACTGATTTACCTATATGCACAAATAAAATTAGAATGATGAAAAAATCTAGGACACTGGAAGGATAGCTCTAATTACTTCCTGCAAACTGCATCTTTTTCATTCCATGAAATTTCTCAAGGATTCCCTTATGCCAACTACTGCCTCCTCTGTACCCTTTTTCCTCTTTCCTTGGTTTCCCCTCCTTGATACAAGAAACATTATTATTTAAAAAGAAATGTCATTTTCCATTTGCTGCATGTTTTATGTTGAAGTAACCAAGAAGGAATTTAATGAAGTTGTTTGAATTTCGACTGATTTCTTGTAATCCATGGAGATCACAAGAGTTCCTCTGATTGATATTGATAAAAATAAATTCATAATTACAAAAGAATTTCATGATAGAAAGTCATCGCTATCTTTTTCTTTATGAACACGTGTACCATGGTTTTTATTCCTAACAAGTGTGTATATTTCTTGTAATCATTTCTGATATTCTTCCTATGGTCATTATGTCTATGTACTTATAATTAGTAGAGCTTCCAATCATATTTCACCTCTTCTTAAGCCATCTATGTTAGTGCAGTTTGTTGGCATTGTTAGGAAGACTTCCATTGAAATTTGAGTTTCCTGGTCTTCAGATACTCGTAACATAGATTCCTGTTTTAAAATATGACCACTGATTTTTTGTGGCACTAATTAATGATTAAAATAGATATCCCTAAGACATGCTTTATTTCAGGAAATTAAGTTCGAGCCCAACATTATGTGTGAACCTATTGACAAGAAATTCACATTTCGAGCAAGTCAGGTAATGGTTTCGTAAGTGCAACTGTGTGCACGTTTTAAAGTATATACAGCTGTTATTTAACCAATTGTAATTTTTTGGATGTAGCTGGAAGATGGAGATATTGTTTGCTTTCAAAAATCCCCTCCAGTTGAAAATGTAGAACAGCATCGATATCCTGACGTTCCCTCATTTTTGGAGTATGTGCATAATCGTCAAGTAAGACATCATGTTTAGTGGAACTTCGTTTGTGTCATATATTCCAATGCCTGCTCCTAAAATACTAGGGATTGCTAATTTGTCTTGGCAGGTATATTTTAATCAGAGAATCTCATTTATGATGTTAAAAATAATTTTTGGAAAAGGGAAAAAAACTAAATTATTTGAAATAGGAAATGAAACTATGAAGGACATGATATATTTTGATATACAAGACAAATTTTGAGTTATTGTTATTCGTGCTAATGATTAGTATCCTTTTAGTTGTTGCTCTTAAACTATAGGTGTGCATGTTTAAAATTTTGAAATCTGTAAGATTCGCAGAATGAAGTTTGAGTTACTGTTATTCCATGTTAAAAATTAATATCCTTTTAGTTCCTGCTCTTAAAAATTAGGTTTGCATGTTTTAAATTTCTCTTTCTCCTAGGTCTAATGAAGAGAGTTTGAAAATCTTCAAGGCCCCTGATCTCAAGTATTTTATCCTTTTATGGTTGATGGAAGTTAATAGTTTCACAGTGATGTATTCTTTGCTAACTCAATAAATACACTTTTTTGTGGGAAAGAAGGGAGTAGGTTTATTACAGAAAAGGAAATATAATAGGATTAGTAATTCTTTCTTAATATACCCAAAGTTTGAAGAAATGAAAGGAAAAGGAAATTCAAACTTATAATGATCGGGTAACAAAACCCATGTGCTGAATTGGGCTCCACTTTGATGTCAGGAATCTTGTTAGCATCATTCAGTTCTGTTCTCAACCGACAGTGATATTCATATTGGACCTACAGCTTAGAGTAATGAGATATAAAATTTCTTATGCTGTTCCATTAATCAGGATATAATTTGGTATATTTGTGGGCACCTTATATTCCTTACTGTTGAGATTATTCTGAAATTTTAGAGTTTCCTTGCATAGTATATGACGTTTAAGAGTGCTATTCTTGTAATTTTTAGAGTAAATGCATGTCTAGGCTCTAGAAATTACTCGATCTTCCACCTTTCCATTCTTTATTTGTTCTTTGACCTGTATTGAATTATCAGGCAAACCTTTTCTAGCCACTGATTGGTTGTACATTATTGATCTGTGTTACTAGGTTGTTCACTTTCGATCCCTAGAGAAGCCTAAGGAAGATGATTTTTGTCTGGAGATGTAAGTGGTATAGTTTATTCAATACTGTGATACCGATTGTAAAGTGCATTCACTCAAATTAATTTATAAAAAATGGAGAATTTATGAAATACTGTAATTGTAACCGTTTGCGTCTTTGTTGCATTCGTCTTGATTTTTTAGGTCAAAACTTTACACGTATGATGATGTGGTGGAAAGACTCGCCCAGCAACTTGGCGTTGATGATCCATCAAAAATTAGATTAACGTCACATAATTGTTACTCTCAGCAACCTAAACCTCAGCCAATCAAGTATCGTGGTGTGGAGCATTTGTCTGATATGCTGGTTCATTATAATCAGGTAATAATTCCCCATCCCTGAGAAGTAAGCACTATTAATAGTTCATAATCTAATGGTTTTTACCTTATTGGTTGTGGACAGACTTCAGATATATTATACTATGAGGTATTGGATATTCCTCTTCCTGAGTTACAAGGCCTGAAAACTCTTAAAGTAGCATTCCATCATGCAACTAAGGATGAAGTGAGTATATACTAATCAAATTCTCAATTTAGAATATGTTACAATACAAGTATTTGCATATGTAACTATTGTGTGATGCATTTGGGTCTGCATGTGTATGCATGACAATGTATGATTAACTTTTTCCCCCTTTCAATTTTATTTCACGTTATCAGGTTGTTATTCACACGATAAGATTGCCAAAACAGAGCACTGTAGCAGACGTGATTAATGATCTTAAAACAAAGGTATTTAGTTTCTTAACTTCTTGTATCCAAATATATTGTGGGTTGAAAGATATGTGTGATTTTCATATGCATTTTGTGTTTAATATAGTGTACTTGCAGTTTATCTTTTACTGGGGTAGGGGGCTCTACAGTATGCATCTCTTTTTGTGCCATTTGGTCAGTCTTTATTTTTGTACTAACATTTTTCCTTCTTAAATAGGTTGAATTATCTCATCCAGATGCAGAGCTCAGATTGCTTGAAGTTTTCTATCACAAGATCTACAAGGTGTGACCGTGAGAGGTCTTTGCATGGCTATTACTTTATATCACTCATATTGTTCTTAGTTTTTATTCTGCTTATAATTATAAAAAAGCCATTTTTTTATAAACAAATATAGACTTAAAATTTGTACCTTGTTCCTTTATTGAGCATTGCAAACCTATATCTCTCTTCATAGTTTAATCCCTATCATCTCATAATGCAGGTGTTCCCTCCCAATGAAAAGATTGAGAACATTAATGATCAATATTGGACATTGAGGGCAGAAGAGGTGTATATCTTATGCTAGGAAATTTCTTAGATTTTTTAAAATGTGACCTCTCTTAACATTAGTTACTTTGTATTTTTTGTCTACCCTCATTTCCTCCCTTCTGTTTACAGATCCCAGAAGAAGAAAAAAACCTTGGTCCAAATGACCGCCTAATCCACGTGTACCATTTCACTAAAGACACGGCTCAGAATCAGATGGTAAGCATGATGCAATATTCTTGTCTAAATAATTTTCATTTGATGATGATTTAATATTCAGTATTTTGAGCAAATAGGATGATTGCTGAATTTAAATAACCTCTTTAATGACTATTGACTACCGAGTTTCTTTTGTTATGTTATCTATAGCAAATTCAGAACTTTGGTGAACCCTTTTTCTTAGTCATAAATGAGGGAGAGACTTTGGCCGACATTAAATTGAGAATACAGAAGAAGTTACAGGTTCTAGATGAGGAGTTTGGCAAGGTATTTGTTTCTTTTTTCTTTGTAATGTGATCTGTACTTCGGTAGTTAGTACTTCTGCATTCATTATCATCTTGAACGAGTATTATTTACAGAGCTTTTTGCAAATTCATGGTACGGAGTGGCTTTCTTGGAGTAAATAACATTGATATTATTGGTTCATGGTAACAAGTATATGAAACACTTCAGATTAATCTAACCAAGTTTTGCTGTTTGTCTTGTCAGTGGAAATTTGCATTTCTTTCACTCGGTCGGCCAGAGTACCTCCAAGACACAGACATCGTGTCAAATCGTTTTCAGGTTCATCTTGAACTTTAGTTTTTCCTGTTCTCAGCTTTGAGATTGCATTCTAATTTTTTCCCTGTGCATCTGGTTTAGAGAAGAGACGTTTATGGTGCGTGGGAGCAATATCTTGGACTGGAGCACACTGACAATGCACCTAAACGAGCTTATACAGCAAATCAGGTAAAAATGGAATATGCTGGCGGCTAGCTAACATTTGGTGTGATGTTAACTTAATGAAATATGCTTATGAATAATCTTAATGATAATTGCCGTTTCATACTATTTAAAATTTATGCAGAATCGCCATACATTTGAGAAGCCAGTAAAAATCTACAATTAGCAAAAGACGAGAGAAAGACATGACATGACAGGGTTGTGTCTTCATAGAATTAGATGAGTTGGGAAATGTTCTACCACACATTTGGATTTGGTTGTTAAAATGGGCAAGATTGACGAGGCACACTCCACAAGTAAAAGCTGGCGTAGAGTAGCCAGCAGGATTCCATTTTGATTCTGTTGGCCATGTATTCTCTCGCAATGGATGGGGGAAGGACTTTTTCGTCAATGGATGTGTTTGTTTTACTGTCAACCACCTCAGTCCCCTGATCTTTTTATTACAGACGGAGAGGAGAGGTATCTCTTCCCTCCTTGTGACCACGCAAAGAAAGGCCCTCCCTCAGCATCAGTTGAGTTGTAATCTAGTTTATAAACAAGATTTTTTTTGAGTAGCAGTTGAATGTACACAAAGTATAGTTGGGGACCTGAAATATTATTATTGTTATTATTATTTTTTTCCCTTTCTTTTTGGGCTGTTTGTTTTTCCTGATTTTTGTCTAGTCAGAACGGGGGTTAGTAGTTGTAAGTGCTGGCTGTGTATGCAAAACTTGTCAATCAGGCATTTCATTTGGAAAAGTTGTCTTTACTATTTTTGACCAGTAAAGATTTGGAGGTGTTTTACCTGCTTTGCTTACTTGGATTCAACTTCTTGCTCTTCCACATTTCCATTCCCCATGGTACCGCCAACGAGTGGAATCTCTCCCTTTCACCCTGTCCATCTTAGATTGAATTTTTTTCCTTTTTTTTTTTCATTTTGGTGTGCACTGCATGTTCTATTTTTGGCTCAATTACAAATATAGTTTTCAAACTTCTTAATAGGCCGATAAACTTTGAACCGGGTCAAATAGCCTCCGTAAACTTTACAAATTTTGTATTAGACCCGAAATTGTCAAAATGTATACAAAATTGTATTAAATAATCCGGCCGGCTATTATCACTATCAGTTTGTGGTTGGTTTAACTCTTACTGCATCAGCAAATTGACGTTTTTCGAAGCGACACCATATGATATAATGTTGGCGGGCAGCGCAGGTCTATTTTCGAATTTGTCCATTTTGGCGGCAAGCCGGCCAGTCGCCATTGTCTCTCCTTCCTTCTTCTTAACCCTTCCCTGCTTCCTTCCCATCATCGACTCCACTTGACGACTACTGTCATTGCGTTGTGTTGAAGCCATGGCCACTTCTTCTTCTTCTTCTCCTCCATTTGAAGTCGAAGAGTGTCGCGGTGTCCTCCGCGTTTACAGCGACGGCTCCATCGTTCGCTCCTCTAATCCAAGCTTCGACGTCCCTGTCCTCGACGACGGCTCCGTTCTATGGAAGGACCTCCTCTTTGATCTCATTAACCGGCTTCACGTGCGTCTGTATAAGCCCGCTAATTGTTCCTCCTCCACTTCCCTCCTCCCTATCTTCTTCTACATTCACGGCGGCGGCTTCTGCATCGGCTCCCGCACCTGGCCCAACTGCCAAAACTACTGCTTTCGCCTTGCCCTCCACCTCTCCGCTCTCGTCATCTCCCCCGACTACCGTCTCGCTCCCGAGAATCGCCTTCCCGCCGCCATCCACGACGGCTTCGCCGCCCTCCGCTGGCTCCAGGCCCAAGCTCTGTCGGATCACCCCGACCCCTGGCTCTCCCACGTCGCTGATTTTAGCAGGATTTTTATCAGCGGCGACTCGGCCGGCGGAAACATCGCTCACCATCTTGCAGTGGGACTCGGCGCGGGTTCCCCTGAGTTGGCGCCGCTCCGAGTGAGAGGCTACGTTCTTCTGGGGCCATTCTTCGGCGGGACGGTCAGGACCCGCTCCGAGGCGGAAGGTCCCAAAGAAGCCTTCCTGAATCTGGATCTCATCGACAGGTTCTTCAGTTTCAACTTATACCAAGCTTCAACCGAATTTCGTTGCCCTAAGGCCTAAACTAAACGTAGCGAAGGGTTTTTGATTGAGCAGGTTTTGGAGATTGTCGATCCCACCCGGAAGCACCACCGACCACCCGCTGGTGAACGTGTTGGGACCGTGGAGCCGGGACCTGGAGGCGGTGGAGCTGGACCCGATGTTGGTTGTGGTGGGCGGCGGTGATCTGTTGAAAGATCGAGCGGTAGAGTACGCAGAGAAGCTGAAAGAACAGGGGAAGATGATAGAATTGGTGGAGTTCGAAGGAAAACAACACGGATTCTTCACCATTCATCCTAATTCAGAAGCTGCAAACCAATTAATGCTCATCGTCAACCGATTTATTACTCAAAATTCAGGCTGATTAACGCCTTTTCCCTCGTGCTCCCATAATTCCCCAATCTGCTTAATAATAAAATAAAGTTAAGATTTCTGCAAACACAAATGCGAATTGCGAAGCTCGAAGAAGTTATAAAGATGTTTATTTGTTATGAACAACACATTCAAAGTTTATTCAAAAAATGAAACAATTGAAGTAAACAACCGTTGAATTGAAGCCATCTCTACCCCAAAATTCAAACTCTCCTTCAAACAATAATAATAACAAAATACTAAATACTAAATTTATTTTAAATCAAGTTTGAGTTTTTTTAGAAGTAAAATATAATGAATCTTAAATGTATACAATAAGCAAAATAAATAATTTTTTCTATTATTATTATTATTATTTAAAGTACAAAGAATATTGCAGAGGAGATTGAATACTCTACCTATAAATATCTAAGTTCAAATTGAAACCGTAGTTACTATAAAAAAAAATGAAATCATATTTAAATTGGATTTAAAAACTATTTTGCTTGATCAACCTTCAACTTCAATTTTGATTTCTTTTTCCTTGTATTTCTAAAATGTTTATTTTTAGTTTGGGTACTTTCAAAGAGTTTGTTTGGTTTTTTTTTTTAATATTTTAGAAGTGTATGTTTTAATTCTTCTACTTTTAAAAGATAATACACCTTTATCTAAATTTAAAAAATTTTAGCTCAAATTTTATACCCAACAAAATTTTTTAATATAATTTTGTATCTACGTTTAAAAAATCTATTGAAAAGAGAAACTAATTTGAATAAAACCTAAAAATAATTAATAATTTCAATGTGTTTTCTAAATGTGACCGGTTAATTGAAATAGAAAATAGTTAAAAGAGGCGGATCAATTGGGACCGAGAATTGACAGAAGATTCGTGTTCATTCTAGATTGATTTCCATTGCTGAATCCGCATGCAAATCCTTTCGTAATTCCAACAGATCAACGGACAGGACAACACAAAAGTTTATTAAGCAAGGTAATCTTCCACCATGTTCCGTCGGTTGTTTCCGTCTCCTTCCGATCACAATTTACCATTACAGGTTCGGTGGCCGCCACCAATTCGGACCCCAATTCTCTTCTTTCTTAGGGCTTCTCTTTTGTCTTGTAATTAATTGTAGGAAAATTCGCGCCCCTTCAAATCCCAAGATCATCCTTCTCCTGCTTTCTCGATTATAAGCTTGCCGTAATCGGTACCCACTCTCCCACGAAGATCAATAACTGGGTTTCAGAATCGAGAGCGACAGAGGAAGATAATAGATATTGTGTCGAACGGGAATGATGGATCCGGAGCTGATGAGACTGGCTCAAGAACAGATGAGTCGTATGTCCCCTGCGGACTTCGCCAAAATCCAACAACAGGTATGGAATTGTAATTTGCTTTCTTCGCTTTTCTTTTTATTTTTCTCTCACTATTTAAGATTTCGATGTAAATCTAGGGCAGTCACTTGCTTTCTATCGAAGAACACTGTCAGTTTCATTTTCACTTGGGGGCAGATTTTAATTTATGATCTTGTTACGACGATCTTCATCCTATTAAGGAAGTTTTAGAATATATAATATTTGGATATGATGATTACTCGGTTCTATCCCGTTCTTCCTGTGTTTATTCCATTTCACGAATAAGGCTCTCTGCTGTTTATTTCCCTTAGGACCGAAAGAAAATTATCCAGTAAACTTATAGTTGATACGTAACACCGGGGATTGGCTGTACTGATTAATTAGTGAGTCTACTGAATTTAATTTGCAGTTTACTTAACTCTTTCAGGATGGAACAAGCCGTTTTGACACTCTGCTAATCTAGTTTTAATTGCTTATAACTAATGTCGTGTATTTAGCTCTGTGGTCTGTGTATAATCAAGTCCTGATGTCACTCTATAACTGAAGTTGCTGAATTCTCTTGACGCTCAGATGATGGCCAATCCAGAGTTAATCAAGATGGCCTCAGAAAGCATGAAGAATTTGCGTCCCGAAGAGTTGAGATATGCTGCAGAGCAGTTGAAGCACACCCGTCCGGAGGATATGGCTAAAATTGGTGAGAAGATGGCCAATGCAACACCTGAAGAGATTGCGACTATGCGTACCCGTGTTGATGCACAGGTCAACTATGAACTGGGTGCAGCTGAAATGCTGAAGACACAGGTAATATTTGTAGGATTGAATCCAAACACTGCTCTGTGAGGACATGAAGTTACCTATTCTTATTTGATCAAGTCTTATCTCTCTTTTTGATTTTTAGTTTCTCCAGGGCCTTCAGTTCTGTAGTTTTTTATGATACTCGCCCTTTTTTTTTAATTTTTTTTATTTTAGTGTTATCTCAATTAGAAAAATAATATTTTTAAGTTTCTTGAAGATTTTTTTTTTTATTCTTTTACCGTTTATTTTATTTTGAACTGATCTCTCTAATTAAAGAAGTTTTGCCTTTCTTATGAATAAAAAATTGGATCTTTCTTATGTAAGCTACAAACTTTGTTTGAATAAAATGAAAAGTTTTGTTCAAGAGCTAAACAATCATCCAAGATATATTCCTTTAGGCCGTAATATCCACTCATTTTTCTCCATAGATTTAGGGATTAGAGGTGATACTTGTCTGCAATTTCTAACTAGTAGTTTGCTTGTAGCCTTGAACATGTGATTAGCTCATCAGAAGGCTCAAACCTGAGACTTCTATGATCAAGAGACCTCAAGCCCTTGCCAACTGGGCTGTCCCTTGGGGCTCAGGAAATTATAGTTATAGAAATTCATTTTCCCCTGTTTCTTGTTTGTGATCATATTACTTTGGATGTGACATAATTCCTCGATGAGGTAGGTTATTATTGGTGCAAGAAAATAAATTATAGTTACTTCATTGTGGTGATATACTTCGAAATAGCGGTTCATTGTTGTGCTTACATACTAGGCTAACCTTCTTCAAAAACTCTGCGTGATCACTTACCACCAGTCTCCGGTTGGTAGAGGAGGTGCCTAGATCTAGGAGTGTCAGTAGTATGAGCCGAAAGGCTCCCATACTGTTTTGGAGTGCAGGGGCGTAGATGCCAAACAAACTTGACCTCTATCTATTGTTATAGAAGTAGCTCCTAACTTCCTAAGAAAGATTATGGTTCTCTTTTTTTAGAATGCTAATTAACGTTGTTTTTTGAGTGTTGGGTGGCCTATAAAGGAATAGGTGCTTAGTCTTTATTGGCCTCTTCTCTTTAAGGAGGCTGGAGGAACCCTTGCCTCGCTTTCTATTCATTTGTGGGTCGGGACACCCCACCCGAGGAAAAAAAAAGGATGCCCCAGGACCATTTATTATTCTACTTCTATGTTATACGCTATGATATTTTCTCTTCTATTTAAGTCTATCTTGCATGTTCTAATGTGTTATTCACTGAGTAGGGGAATAAGCTTCACAGTCAGGGAATGTTCAATGATGCATCGGAAAAATATTTGCTTGTGAGTATATTATACTGATTAGATTGTATTTTTCTTATTTTTATCTTCAGCCAATTTAATTCCCTCATTGAGCATAACTCAACTCATGAACTCTCTGTCTGTGTTCTGCATTCTTAGGCTAAGAAAAACCTCAAGGGGAATTCATCTCCCAAAGGAAGAACACTTCTGTTGGCTTGCTCACTCAATTTGATGTCATGTTACTTGAAAACAAAACAGTATCATGACTGCATAAGGGAAGGTTCTGAGGTAATGCAGTTTTTTGTCCTTTTTAATATTTAAATTCCAGTTAACCATATTGATGTGATGTAGTGTTATCTGAACTTGCCCTTAAGTATACTATAGAAATAATAGTAAGACATGGTATGCTTATTGCAAACATGATCAGAATTGATGTAAGTTTGAAGTTACTACAAGCTATGTGGTCAAAATAATGTATTTCACCAAACAAACACATGATACTGATTCTAGAAGTGAAATGTTCAAATTGGTGTGAATCTTGAAGCATGAAGTTCCATGCGAGAAAGATATCCAAACACTTTAGGGGAGAAAAAGTGAAATGGTCCATTACTCTTTATCTCTTGGCAGAAAGGAATTCCATATTTCAATTAACACGCTCAAATTCATGTTTACCCACAGCTTCTAGATCTGATTGATTGAGGAGAGATAGAGTTCATGCTTCTATCTATCTTTTACATGACATCTTGAACTGAAAAAAAAAAACACTCACATATGCCAAATGACTTGCTCAAGCCATGCACTTTTACTAATTCAACTGTTTCATGGATTATGATTTGATCACTTCCTATGTATGAGGTGCCAGAAGATTTTTTATTCAGTCGTCAATTTTCACACTCGTAACTCTGACATTGGACTTCCATTATTCTACGTTTTTGCATATGGTTATGCTTAATTCTTATATCTATGATTGCAACCATTTCTTTTAATGTAGGTTTTGGCATATGATTCAAGGAATGTGAAAGCACTTTACCGGAGAGGTCAAGCATATAAAGAATTGAGTCAATTTCAAGTGAGTTTGTGATGACAGACTACCTGATTTTCTGATATTATAACCATACAAGGCCTACTATCTGCTCATATTTTTAATGGATTACATTTTGGTAGGATGCTGTTTCTGATTTGAGCAAGGCACATGAAGTTTCTCCTGATGATCAAACTATTGCAGACGTTTTAGTGTGAGTTATTTTTCCCCGTTATTTCATGGGACTTGTCTAATGTATTGTACCTGCTAGTCTTTATGTGGCTCAGATTGAGAAATCGGATGATCTTCTCAATTTGAGTCTACTTTTTTTTTTTTGTCAAGCATGAGTTTTCTCAGAGTGCTTCTGTTTTGTGAGGAGTTTGGACTAACAATTTATCACCTTTTCTTTTATTTGTAATCTACCATAACATATCACATGAAATCAAGTGGCTAGCTACATTGGTCTGACATATCCTGTGGAACTAATTGTTGCTACAGGGATGCCAAGCAAAGATTGGAAGAACAAGATGGGGGGAGTGTACCCAAAGGTACATCCTCCTTGCTTCTTCAGTAGTATCTTTTCTCCCCTGTATTCTCTGTAGTGTGACAGTGGTGGGATGAAAAATTACATAGGAACTGAATTTGACTATCATTTTCTTATTTTGTAGGATTTGTAATTGAAGAAATAGTTGAAGAAGACAACCCTACATCTAGGAACATTTCGGCTTCAAGACCACAAGAAGTTGTTGAATCTTCCAAGGCTGCTGAAGCCAACAAGCAGAGTATAAATTCTGAGAGTTTGCAGGCATTGAAAGATGATCCAGAAGCTATCAGGTCCGGATTCAAAAAGTTTAATTGTTTGATAATAGATGCTTAGCGAATCAGTTAAGCTCTTGAGCTTCTAATAATGTGGTGGTTCTTATTTCTCTCTCATTTTTAAAAAAGAAATGTCAGACGTTTTTGTTCTTGGGTGTGCCTGACTTAATAGGTGTTGAATTTCATTATCTTTAACATGTTCTATTTTTGCCATTTCTTGGAAAACTGGAGAACCAGTAGGATAAACATTTTGGGACCAAAGAGTTAAGTAATTGGCCTTTTTGGGGCTACTCATCGTTCTTCCCCTTTCGTGAAAAATTTTGTCAATAGCATTGTTTTACTTTTTTGTTTGTTTTTAAAAAAGAAATACAGTGGTTTTTATTCCCCATACCAAAGCTTGGGATCCTTGCACTAAAACATCTTGGGCCACAAGGTCCCAGAACATTTGTGAGAAGTTTGTCTGTTCAAGTTCTATATTGCTTTCTTCTGACCTCACAAGTAATTTGAGTGCAAGATTTTTTTGGGGAAGTGAAACAAGATTTTCATCTGGAGAGTGTTTTATTAGTTATCAGCTACATCTCATAAATAACGTATTTTTTTTCCTTCTTTGTATAGATCATTTCAGAGATTTGTTTCAAATGCTGATCCCAATACTCTAGCTGCGATGGGCTTTGGAAAATCTGGAGAGATATCGCCAGACATGGTAACTACAGCCTCAAATATGATCAGCAAGATGTCTCCAGAAGATCTCCAGGAGATGCTCAAATTGGCTTCTTCTTTCCCAGATGCGAACTCATATCTTAAGGGCGACAGTTTAGGTCCAAATTTGGATAATCCAAGCGTGACCCCTGAGTTACTTAATTCAGCCAGTCGTATAATGAGTAATATGCCACCTGAAGATCTACAAAAGATGTTTGGAATTGCATCATCTTTGAAAAGGAGTGACTCTGCTTCTGCAGTAGCTTCCGGGAATGACAATGTACCAGATTCTGATACTCGATCAAAATCTTTTGGTAGTCAACAATCCAGAGTCAGCGAAACTAATAGCATGAGCAAAACTAGTTCTTATGGAGCGGTTCCAAATTCAAGAAGCAGTTCTTCAAACTCAACTATTCCAACCTCTTCTACTGATATGCAAGAACAAGTGAGAAATCAAATGAAAGATCCAGCCATGCAGCAGGTTTGTAAATTTTAGCCACTAAATGGTATAATGAGTGAACAGTAATAATTAGAAACTGTATTTATGAGTTCATTGATGCAATTTTATGTGATGAATGGAGTCATAGATCTTCTTTCAGCATTTTTAAAGGTGAGGTGACATTCCCCCTCTTTATGGTGACGATCAAGGCGTGATGTGGTTGCCACCCTTGCCTGAATGATGGCCATGAGGGGGCACATTTACTTAAATGTCATTGTGGTTCCAATTTTGTCTGTCGTTGGCATGTAATAATGGTGAACTTGCGTATTGCCTTAGATGAAGAGACTTTGAAGGTGGTTCCCTGTGTTATCTCTGGTTTTTATTGGGGAAGAGAGAGAGACGAGGGGGGAATTTAGGATATTTGCACTTCTAGCTCAAATTTAGTCCCCTCCTATCTGCCTTCTCTTCGAACAATGAATGCCTTAAGTTTTCTAATACCAAGTACTTCTCGTTGCTACACAAGTAAATTTTCAATAGGAATGAGCTTTGAGCTTCAATCCTTCCGGTTCAAACCACAAGCAAAAGCTTCTTCCTCTTTCTAGTTCGCGCTTGTTTCTTTTTCTTTCTGCTCCTCTCTCTTATTGGTGCTAAATTCATTGACATTTGTGAGTGTACTTGCTTCACTTTTTTGTCTTATTGCCATCCAGTCAATTGGCCTTTTGCCTCGAAACATGCTGCTGCCTCTTTCAAAAGATTGTACGGAAACTTTTGTGCAAATGGTTTCTATTGATTGTTCTCGTACAAACTTCAAATAAAATCTAGTTATGATGAAAGAAGGTTTGGGGGAGGGTGAATTTTGTCGGGGTGTCATTGTTGTATGGTATGTGTTCTTAGAAACCTCCATGTTCCCTCAAGAGTTGATTGATATGCTTTGCTCACTCTTAGTTATTGGTTTTCTGTAATCCATTAGATGTTCACATCAATGATAAAGAACATGAGTCCAGAGATGATGGCAAATATGAGCGAACAATTCGGTCTGAAGCTTTCTGCCGAGGATGCAGCAAAAGCTCAGCAAGCAATATCATCTATCTCGCCCGATGATTTGGACAAAATGGTACGTCGTTTACTAATCTTCCTTATGGTTCTATTCGAACATTTTCGGTTACTAACTGTGTTATGGTTTCCTTGGTTGCAGATGCGTTGGGCAGAAAAGATTCAAAGAGGCGTAGAAGGTGGAAAGAAGGCAAAGAGTTGGTTACTGGGACGTCCTGGTATGATTTTAGCAATATGCATGCTGATATTGGCAGTAATTCTTCATCGGTTTGGAATAATAGGTGGTTGAGAGTCTTCGCCCTTCATCCCTATTTATTTTTGTACAACTGCTCACTCGCTTAACCGTACGGGCATATGGAAATTAACCATTTTGTTTCTTCCTTCTTTTCTTTTGTTTTCTTTTTTAATATTTCCCCCCTACATGGATAAAGATATTGTGATCATTTATGATTTCATTTCGGTCGGAAATTCTTTTAACATGTCTAGAACAATCTTTTCATTTCCAAAGAATGAAGGCAGTATTAGGATGATGGGTTTATTATTTGTTTATTAGTCCCCATCAATTGGGCGACTCCCATAAGGCTAGAATAAGCCTTCATGAACACCAAAATAGACTCTTTACAGTTTGGTTTTGCCACGTATAAGGTGTGGACAAACAATCATGCATGCAATTCTGAAATTTGGAGGGGAGAGAGCGAGAAAATGTGGAAAAAAGACAAATGATGGGTGGGTGGACAGTGGACACGGAGTTGTCTAACATTGAAAGAAAGAAAAAGAGAATTCGGATTGGTCTTTGTCTTTGTCTTTGGTTACAGCTTAGAGAATTTTAGTTTATCTTTGACTAAGAGATCGAAAATTCGAATCTCCATGTACTCGGACTTATAGTTAGAAGTTGAATGCCATCATTCAATTTCTTTGAAAGATTTTGAAACGAATCACTGTATTATTACTGGCAACAGGGTTCACTTCTATCTCTTTCATTTGAGATGGAAGGACAATGACGTGCTTTCAAACATGAATCGCAAAATATTTAACCTTTTTTTTTTCATTTTCATTCCCGGAATACTCAATTTTCGAAATTTACATTCTAGAAGCATTTTGACTTTTCTAACCGAATTTTAAAAACAAGAAAACAACTATAGTAGTAAGCTGAAGATATCAAATAACATATATTTAAAAAGTATGAGAACGAGGTGGTAATATTAGCTCTCGGTCCAAGTATGGACCAATGAAGAGCTAGTTGAAAACAATTCAATCCCTCCAATTGTTGAACTCAATTTTAAAAAATAAAAAATAGAACTGTTTAAAATAATAATTTGTTTTTTTTTTTCCTTTTTAAATATCATGATTAGTTCGTTTGTGGTCTTGGAATATGATTAGATAGCTTACAGAAATTAAACATATGATAAATCGTCGGAAATAATTATTTACAAGTCCACAATATGAAAGGAAGAATTTCAACTATCTTAAAAAAAAAGAAGCTAAACATAATGAAAACATGTGATTGTGCCAAACCTTGAAAAAAAAAAGGCGGTTATAACTTCCCATATCATATTGCATTAAAAAATGCAGGCAGCCACGTTTCAGTAATTAAAGAAATAAAAGAATAGTGATGGTGCAATTAGCAAAGAAGAATTGTAATATTTTTTTTATTTTTATTTATTTATTTATTTTTGAGTAGAGAAGAGAGGTTGAATGAGTGGTGGTGGAAAACACGTCTTTTTGTTATAACTTCCCATATACAACACACATATAAATCACAAACAACAATCCTTTTCCATTTTTGGATCTTTCTTTCCGATTCATCGCATCCTCATTCTCATCCTCATCTCCCACCTTTGCTTTACGCTTATTATCGGTTTCTCTCTAATTTCTCTCTTCCCATTCCCATTCCCATTCCTCTGCAAGATCAAGATCAAGATCCACATTTAACTTTGACCGCCTGGTCAAACTCAAACTCCATACACTTATGAATCAGACCGTCCACCTCCGATCACCGCCGGGGACTCGCCAGCAGCCGCTGCTTACAGAACAGTCGACCAACAAAAAGAACGAAAAGCGGCGGCTGGCGGAGGTGGCAGGCGGAACGGCGGCGGAGTGCGCGGCAATATGCTGTTGCTTTCCATGCACCCTTATGAACCTTCTCATATTGACCGTCTACAAACTTCCAGTGGGGCTCTGCAAAAAGGTGTGGAACAAGAAACTGGCTAAACGACGCCGCATCGCTAAGAAAAACAAGGCCCTGTTGCAGCACAGGCCGCCGGCCGACGACACGTTTCCGCCGTCGTGTCTGTCGTCGGAGGACGTGGAATTGGAGGAGAAGATCATGTGGGACCGATTCTACGGGACAGGCTTCTGGAGGACACCGTCTCAGAGAGAGACGTAACTCTACAAAAAAATTGCGACTTTGGATTGGGTTTAGGGTTAGGGTTCCATAATCACACAGCTTCACCAAGATCGTTACGTTACGTTCAAAGATTTTATCTTTAATTAATTTTCCTCTTTCTCTCTCTTATTTGAACGGAAATTTTTCTTTATGGGTTATTTTGTTTTTGTTTTTAGTTTTCTATTATATTTTTTAGCAACAATCTGTCAATATTTCAAACGTACAAGTTTATTTTTGAGTCCCTTTTTGTCCGGACTAGTCCTGTATATTCAAATTACTTGAAGAATTCAAATGTCGACTCCAACGACAAGGACTGAGCACTAGAGAGCGATTCGATTTCAGAATCTCAGTTAAAGATTCGTGTATCATGTAGTTTGTTTACTACGATATTTGAAGTTCTTCTATTGATTTTCAAACTGCAACGGTTTATTATCATCCAAATAATCTCCTTCACATCTAAGCCGTTCGACACTGGGTTTCAGTCATCTCAAAGTTTCTTTCTTCTGCCTTCTTCACAGACTATAATTTCCCTTTCAGCTTCTTTCTTACCCATTTGTACTTTGATTTAATGATATGATATCGTTCACTTTTAACATAAGTTCTCATTTACTTTTGATTTTATCTAAAAGTCCTCGTACTAATGGAGATATTACTCTCATTGGCTATGATTCTCATCTAGCCAATGTAAACCTTTGATCAAACACGAGCAACATCTTCTGAGATATCAATTTTCAAATTAAACCATATTGAAGTCTTAATCTCTTGGAAGGAAAAAGCCATGAAACCAGTTCCTCCACTCTGCCTTCATTAACCATGTGAGAAATGGTTGCATGTTCATGCAGAAATCCCATTGGTTTGCTAAGTGCTTCCAGCTTTCATGACATGAGGCAGCCATTACATTGCTCCTGAGCTTGCCTCTGTCGTTGAGGCTTCTCTTCATTCTTCCGACGAATTCTCTCTTGTTCATCATTGTCAGCTCCAGGAATTGTTTCTAGGAAGAACCAGATGTTTTATCTCTGTGATCTTCAAAGTACCCATACCACCTATTGTTATTAGAAATAGAATCGCACTTAACCACAGAATTAAGTGAGGTTCCAGAACAGGTTCATCGCTGACATCCATGTTTAGAAATTATCCATTGGAGGGATGAGGTGATGCTGCAGCCAACAGTACTGAAAGTTCTCAAAAGTGGATTGTCTGTACTAGCTTGGACACAGTTTTCGCACCGGCGGGTCCTGAAGGCATCTGAGTCGCCTTCTAGTGTTCTCTTTGTTAGACTTTCTATCCTTAATATTAAATCTAGACGCTGGAGACATCTCCTTGAGTCCAGAATTTGTCCACCAATATTTGAGCTATATGCTGCAAATTCAAGACTAAATCAAACGGATTTAAGTACTTGACATTACATTTCCACAGGTCAGCTCTCACGTGAACGTTCATGTTACGTATAACAGGCGGGAATATATCACAACAAAGATATTCATACTCTTACTCAACTTTGCGACTAATGATAGCTTTAATGACTACTAACATCACATAATTTTGTTTTTTAGATAAAAAAAATGACATGGGTAAAACTCTAGATTGGTCACTTCCTTAGTTATATTTGGATCATACAAGTTTCATATTCGACAGGCAGGATTCTAGATTGTGGTCCCAGGAATCCCCTACAACTTTTATTCGCTCCTGACTTGACTTTGCTTTCCTTGAAGCAGAGGACCAAAATCTCAAAGCAGAACTAAGTTATTGAAATGAATCTGCTCTATCATGTGGGCCTTGCTTCTTAGACCTTTAGATACCTCTAACAGATCTATCATATGTATGATAGGAAATAAAGGGAAAGGAAGACATACTTTTTTGGATGGCTTTCAATTACCGTAGAGCTTCGCATTCATCCTCTTTTTAGTTGTTGACTAGTTGAAGATCATTCCCATTGTAGCTTGGGGTTTTTTCTCCTTGTCCTCTTCTTCTTGTATTTTCATTTTTTTCCGAGAGAATAGTTTCTTCCATAAGTTAAACCTACAACATAACAGTAACCAAATATTTGCAAACTCACCATGGGTTAATCCATCCTGAAATTTCCACAGAAGTACATATGACCTCACATTTTGGGGCATATTAGCCCAGTCATAATTTGGTGATCTTTTCTCCATTTGTAAATGGTGTTTAGTTAGTAAAGTTGGTTGTTTATCTGTCATTTTCTGGGTCTACAATTTGGAATAACGTCAGTCATGTCAAATACAAAAATCAAAGACGTTCAAATTCAACAGATTATAATTCGCGATGTTGCACCCGGGCAGGGGAAAAATATATAAAAACAGAAACGAGGTCTCATAAAATTTCTGAAAATCAAGCAGAGTCAATTCAACCTGTGAAAGAAGCAAAGTAACACGAAAGTTGGGATCATATCTGACTGAATTTACTAAAATCAGCTCAATTCGTCGAAAGGGAAACCGAACTATCCAAAAACCAGTGAGAGTATCTGATAAGAGTGACCTGTGGTGGTCTTCTTTATGACGCTGGTAGCCACAGGAAGAAGAAAGCAACGAAAATGGTGGTGGACAGCACTATAGCAGTACGTTGAGAGCTTTCGTCCATGAAATGGGAATGTAAAGTTCGAGGCCGAAATCGAATGATGGAATTAGGGTTTCGAAATGTGCTTTGGGTGATACTGTTCGAAATTTTAAATTCATTTTAAAATTTTATAATTTTCACTCATTTTTTAACACGTACAAATTCGCATAAGAAATTCATTTTTTTTTTTTTACTAATCATCTAACAAATGTTGGATTGTTTTAGCTGCCGGCCAACTTGATTATTACAAAACTATCCTGATTTGCCATGATACCACTCACTTAACATTTCATATCACATTGTATAACAACCAAATATAGTAAGATGGATTCAAGTGCACGATCCGAACTCACAGATATAAAAAGAAAAAAAAAATAATTGTTGAAACTTTTTGGTTTCCTATTTTCCAAATAATACCTTTATTTTAGAAATGATTTCCCACCTTCATAAAGCCTGTGAATGTTCACATACTACCAACTCACCTGTGCTGATTCTGGTAAAAGTAGCAGCAAAAGATAACGAAAATGAATGGTTTCTTTTCTTGATTTTGCAAATTCGTGATCATTCAAACTAAATATAAAATTGAATAAATAGATTGTAAAATCCAACCTATGATCTTTAAGAGTAATATCTTATAAATATTGGAAAACTATGCTCAAGAAAATCATTACTCACACAAGTATTTATTTTAAACATATCCAGCAAATTCACATTTTTTCCACAGTTAATTGTATACCTCACAGAATTAAAAGGAAAAAAAATTACAATATACATGACCACCTATCATAAATAATTCATTCCGCATGTATTCTTCAATTTAAAAGCAGATAATCTATTTGAGATGCCATGTGCTTAAAATCCTCTCATACCATGGCGGCTCCAAGCAATGTCTCCAGCAACTACACTGGAAATGAATAGATTCAAATCTGTTCAACAATAGAACTTTCATCATACGCAATAAGTTAGAAATAATATACATCTTAAAGTGCTCAAATTTAGAGAGGAAAGACATCTCTTAATATGTACAAGTCTACGAGCACCCACTTAAATCACAACAGCATAATACAGTATACACAATTGAACAAGGAGATGAATGATAGAGTGGAATTTTAAATTAAAACCTCCGTACCGTTCAGACAGACAATCTTGTGGTTGTGGTGCCTCATCTTGCATCACTTTTTAGACTTCTTAAATATATTTTCCTTGTAATATTTGAGTTCCATAATGCTTTCTCTGATATCGTCCATAGCCCTGTGTTTATTCTCTTTATGTGGGGCTTTCTTCTGATCTGAAAAGGAAATGAGTTGTTAATGTATAGATAGACAAGTAGTTGAATAACCAAATGTTCCAAGGTGAGTCTATGTTTCGTTTATTTAAGCAAAACATTCATACTGACTAACAGTCAACAAATTCCTAAAAACGGCTAAAAATTATCATTCCTTGTTTTGTTATGAATGAAGTAAATATTTGATCCAGCAGAGGGGACCATGGAGTATAGTGCTTATAAAACTTAACAAGCCATCTGAATCTCTTTGAGAAGTGATATTAGATAGTCATAGCAAGAAAATCAACTCAGAATTCCATGAGGCAATAAGTAATAGTATCGATTTTCTTCTGGTAGACATACGGATTTCTTAGATATGTAGAAAAAAATGACGACGACAACAATGACGAAAGAAAATTCAGAACAACACGCCTGTCATTTTCTCAGAAACCAAAAGAAACCTCACTTTTCAAGAACTTTACCTTTTGGATACCAGCGACAGCATAGAGCCTTAACACTACTGACGTCAACAAGTACATGTGAGAAAAGTCCAGCTAAATCTGGCATGTATTTCTGAAGGGAAGAAAACTGGTCGTTACGACAAACAACTTTGCAAACCAGCATTTATGAAAGGTTAAAGAAGATGAAGCAGATATCTTCAAACAAAGAAGAGCACGCACAACTACCAAAGAAATTGATGAATAATAAGAGACATAATAAGGCTACCAGCTCGGAAGGGGCAGGTACACGGTAAATCAGGCATTTTGCCAAGTTTCATTAGTGGTGCGGACGTGAGAAGGGTTGTATTTAGGAAGTAGAGAGAGACTGTCTTTCTGGTGCATACCTTTGGTAGAAAATCTTAAAAAGGTAGAATTTTGGTATCCCATCATCAAATGAGCACCGAGAAAGTTCAGGAAGTGCAGAACTTTTGTTAATCAAGGGAGGCAAGCTTACTCAATGTCAAGTAGGCAACAAGAAGAGTATGTTATGCCAGTTAAATAAAAGGATTGTGGAACAGTGGTTCCCTTGTTTGTTTATTATCTCAAAGGTCATGTGTTCAATCCTAGAGAGTATGCTATGTCAGTCAATTGGAATACAGTCCCACAACCAGAATACAGTAATAGATTAGGCATTAGCGACAGAAGAAGAATAAATGATTTATTTTTAACAAAATGGTTTCAGCGATTCCCATGACAATCTAACGAACAATGGCATCAGATACTAACTAATATTTATGAGAAACAAAAACGTGGTTTAATCATTTTTAATATGGTATCAGAGCAAGAAATCTTGTGTTCGAATCCCTATGTGGTCATTTCCTCCCTATTTATTATTGATTTCCACTCGTCGGGCCTTGTGCAATTTTCAAGCCCGCAAGTGAGGAGGAGTGCTAGATACGAATAATTAATTTTACCTTAATCCATCAGCTTAAACTTTTAGGTCGATTTAATTATGTTTAAGAAAATATGGGTCGAAGGCACTAATTCATGGAATATTTTGGCTGGAAGAAATCTAAACAGGGGGATAAGTGAGTGGAGCTCCTCATGTTGCTTCGTTAGCTGGACAGTGTACATATAAACAAGGGAACATAATGGGAGTATGGAAGCTTATGCAATCTGATATCTTTTTTATTTAACGTCATTTGGTGCATTATTGGGCTCAGCTCTTATGCTTAAGAAAGGATCTAGTGAGTGCTATATAAGACAAGTTGCCTCGAGAAAATAAAGTTCTTGTTGTGGGCTCTTTGCTTTGAGGGAGGGAACACCATGACTTTGACGTCCTTATTGGGCAAGTATTTTGTGGGCATAGATTCAGAAAAAAAGGCCAAGACCCTGAGGCTTGACGAACAAAAAGCTTCCATTTGCCGAATATGGTTAGAAAGTAACAGTAAGCTATTTAAAGGAATATCAGTTGGGTAGAGGCTCTAGATTTAGCAAAATTCTATGCCCCTAGTTTATTTGCATTTTTTAATATACTCAAATTAAATTGGTTTTTTCGTTACTCCATTGGGAGGTAGATTACTCCATGTGCCAATAAAATGTTAAATGCTACATGGATGGGATGGTCAAGTAGCAGTGCAACCTCTACCAATAAAAAAAAGGGCGAGTAGAGAGAAGAATGAAGAGGGTACAAGTAGGAAGAGAGAAACTAAAAAGGAGGGAAAATATAATCACATATCTCAAGGAAAACCATTAACCTTATTCTTCATAAATTTCTCTGTTGCATTACAAGGAACATCAATAGATAGAATGCCCTGACAATCCTACCAAAAAATTCTCAAAATGCTGAGTAAATTAGAATTCAAGAGAAATTTACAAATCCAGATAGATTAGGCATGACCTAAAACTTTTTGAAATACCGTTGTATTTGTATGCTAACTAATATACATTTCTTATTGTCAAGGTAACACAGTCTTCATTAAGGTAAATGAAAGCAAGAAAAAGTTGCTAAAAAATAAATAACCCAGGAGAGAGCATCAAAGACAGTCCCCAAAAAGTAGTCAGTAAATAATTAATTACATAGAATCTTGTTCAAAAATGTATATTGTATATTGACTAAATTGGAACGTTGACTTATTAATCTAAACACACTATTTGCAGTTCAAGCCAATGATATGTGTACGTGATATTATGACAATATAAAGAATATTGCAGTGAGATTACCTATAAAAAAATAAAATCTGTTAAACTGAATTGCCAGCCAACAAAAGAATATTGCAGCGAGATTACCTTTAAAAAAATAAAATCTGTATAAACTGAATTGCCAGCCAACAGTGGAGTGTAGCTACCGACATATTTCTTCACAAATTCTATAACCTGCACAATTACATAGTTATTCCATAAAGCTTGAGCAAATAAATAGATATTAACCAGATTACACGCACATTTATGGTCTTGTTAATGATTGCTAAAAAGTATAATTACAGGTCTTCCAAATGCCATTGGCATTCTATTTTTAACTAAGATCACTCAATCATGTCTATATGATTGCTAGGTGCAATTTGTTCCCCTAGCAGCTACATAACCGAAATTATTTGGCCTTCTTGACAGTATAAACAAATCCATTAAGAATTGTATAGAATGTCAGTGGTGCTAATTGGTTCTGATCTCTTTTCCTTCACACTTCTAAATCTCTCCATCCAGATTATCATCTCTGGAAGCTTGATGTCCCGTGTTATTTTTGTGTTAATTCTCTTTTAGAACTTTCAGTGGATCAAACAATGCTATTAACCATGGTTTTTGCAAGGGCTCCACGAAATCCATAATGCTGAAGTGATGGAAAGTCTTTATTTGGTCTCTGTGCCTTGAGAGAAGTGAGAACAATATTAATGATAAAATTGAGCTGAGGAACCATTGAAACTCAGTTTAGTTGGTGTATTTAGGTAAGGAGTAATCAAGATTTTCCCATTGACATCCATATTCAGTTATTCTATCAACCTATGATACAAGCTCTTTCGGGTTTTTGGTGATCAGGTAGCTCTTCCTAGAAGTATCTAAGACTTTATTTTATTTAGTTTTTTAAAGAAATACTTTTCTATTTAACGCTTCATCATAATTTTGAAATGAGAGCCATACAGCTTTGGTCGAGTGGTGTTTGTATAATGCTTTATAATCTTGGGTTGAGAAAATAGAATAGTGTTCCAAGGAAATGATATGCTAAGGAATGAACTCTAGGATCTAAGTATTTCTGTTCGCTCTTGTAATTTTTTCTGGTGCACCTGGTCAAACTTTTTTTTCCATTTGTAATTATTATATCTCCTCTATAATTACCAAATGAGAAGCCTTTTTATAACTGCCTGATCGTGGGTTGTTTTTCCCTCCCTTGTACATTTCATTTTATAAAATTTGTTTCTTACAAAAATATGATAACGGCCATCGGTACTAAAACATGAAGTAAGATAGCAGATTCATACTATCTGTGCTTAGATACAAGGACATCCAAGATTTTTTAGAGAAACTTTGTAAATAAAAGGACAATTTTCCATGTGCAACAGAGTGCAACCGTAAGAGTTCTAGCATGCATATGGCCGAAAGGCACCAGAAAATTTATCACAATAGTATATAGATTAAATCACATAAATAAATATTAATACTAATAAAAAAAATCACATCCAAAGGAGAGAAGCCTAAGCATTAGATAAATTTTTACAAACCTGTTTTTCGGCTTCTCGTTCACTAATTGTACTTCGTAACACTTTTTTTGTCAATCCTGAATCATGACAGTGTTAAACCGCAAATTGTTTCATCACCAAACAAAAACGTTAAGGCAGAAAACCAGAAGCCATTAAAATGCAACAAAGTGCTATATTGATTCAGCTTGTTGGTTCTTACCACTGGCTGCATGATGAGTTTGACACCATTCTCCCATTTTTTCTAGACATTCTTTTGATTGGTGAATCACTAAATCAGGACCCTAGAAACATAAATTTGAAAACATAATGAAGAAAAAATAAGTGATGCAGGCACAAATATTTCAAACTTTTGATCTTCGCTTGTTATAGGCTTATGCAAAGACTGGTATATTGAGGTCAAATTTATTATCAAATCTATATGCCTATATCACATTTCGTTTTTTCGTTCATCATTTAAAGAAAGCTATTGATAAATATAAATTAGATAACCAATAATAAACAGTGACAACAACAAATAGCGGCAAAATAGATTAAATAAAGGGTGAAACTGTAGGTAATGCAAAAAACAAGTATTTGGCAATGGTCAGAGGGGGTACAGCCTGTTCCTTTAATTTAAAAATAAAGGGTGAGTTATTTTATTCAATTCTTCTTCTTCCATTAATACCTTTCTCCAAGTTAAATATTGTGGCCAATGAATATCATCTTAACGTCTACAACTTATCCAAAGTTTGGGAATATAATACATCCAGACTTATATTCAATACCGAAACCTAATTGTCCTGCTGTTTTTGGTAAATTCTTGTAGACATTCTACACACACGTGAATATTTGAGGTAAAATCTTCACAAAAGCAAGGCATTAGACTATACATGGAAACCTCAGGTGCACATACACACGTGAATGTTTGCTGAACAAAATAACATCAACAAGCATGCAAACGGTTGTTAGCTGTATAAGGTGTAGTGAAGTTCGAGGAGGTATAAGATACAATAACACAAACAAAGACTGGGCAAAGGCATTTATGTAAAATCACTGTTGGATAGCCAATAGCAAGGATACCTCGGCCAATTTGGTCAGATTGCCATTGGTAACTATACAAGCAATCTCCAGTATTCTATCTGTTTCTACATTTAAACCTGCATAGTAAGTGTAAGTCAAGAGAGAAAATGTCATTAGAAGTTAAAAACTCAACTTAGTTGTTACGGAAATAAACTTTTATAATTTCCACCAAAAAAGATAAGACTGAAAGAATAATAGGGAGCATAAAATTTAAACCAAAAAGATATAGATGTTGAATATCTAATCCATCAAAGACAAATGACCCTTGTGCGAAGATAAAATTGAAATGGATTTCAATATCAAATCATAAAACACCAAAGCCTCCTCCTCAGTCCTCATAGTGTGAATAAAAAAATTAGCAAACAGTGCCCTTAAAATGTATCGACCATAGCCTTCATCATCGTAGGATAGCATTTTGAAATCTCTACATTATTATCCATCCCTCCCATGGAAAGCAAAGAAAAGAGGAAAGGAATTTCATATAATCTACACTCCTGAATGCATGTTTTAAAAGTTTAAAGCATATTTATTAGTTGTTAATTGCTACCAGTCATTTCCAGGTCAATCCAAACAAGGGGCAATTTGTAGTCTTCTGCAGCCACATCTAGTAGACTTTGTTTCTGTCTTTCTCCCGTCGGAATATCACCAGAGATATCAACTTCCTTCTTGCTTTTTCCTGATTCAATTAATCAAATCACAAGGTCATATTCTACATTCTTTTTTTTTTAAGTATCAGATGGGAGAGGATCTACTATAGAAAAAGAAATACTCTCTACCATCAATACGCTTATATATTCACAAGTGAAGTCACTACAGAAGGTCCTTTGAAATGAACCGATAAATTTTGTCAGAGACATAAATGCAAAACATAACATATGAAAGTTCAAAATAATAGCATTGTTCCAAAACTTGAAACTGACAGAACAGAGCAACTGAATGAAGCAACCTTGTAACGAAATACGTAAAGCCAGCGAGTAGTAAAGCAAAGCCAACCAGTTGAGCTAATTAATTCTCACCCCCCGTGTTGTATTAAAAAAAATGTAAATGTAATAGGGTCTCAAGGGTCTAGTCTACAGCAAGCACGTAAGTGAAAAACTTAATCATGAAGCTATGTCGTTTCTTATATGCTAATACTTTTTCAATTATGCTTTAGTTGAAATAATTTAAAGTTGGCAGTTTAGGTACAGGGTTCGAAGATCGAACCAAGTTTTCTTCCTCGTGAAATGTGAACATCCACCAAACCGTCGAATTTGAAACTGGGCAGGCAGAAAAATAATTTCTTTCTAAATCGCTTCAAAAATATAGTACGGCTGAAGAAACTACATGAACCTAATTCCTACAACGGAAGGTAATCCAACTCCTGAAGTCTCCAGAATCTTCAACCTTGCACTAGTAAAGTAGGACACTTACCAACGAAAATAACACCCTAAATCAAATTGTAAGTTCATAACAACTAATGACTTGCAACAACAAACAGAACCTTTAAATAGATAGAGAGGTGGGGGGAAATAATCGAGGAAACCTGTTTTTGAAGAGGAAGAAGCGGTAGCGTCAGGTTTGGAGAAAGTAGAGAGAGCAGGAATTTGATCGTCTTCGGCATCGAGCTCCAGTACTGAGAATGCGTTTACGAGCGACTGCATCTTCGTCGGGGAGTATTATTGTGAGTTCTTCCGCCTCAAATGGCCCAACTTCCCTCTCCGACGCCAAGGTCGTATTCTTTCAAACTGCCTCTTAAATTTTCAATAAAGGTTTTTAAATCCTGGATTCCGTGGTTAATTTGAATTATTTGAAATCTTATATAATACCAAATTATATTTATATATTAAATTTTTTTCTAAACAAAATTATCGTATTTTGATTTTGCTGTATTTTATAAAATTAGTACGTGAAATTTGATAGTTTTAATTTTAATGTTTAAAAATATAAAAAGTAATTAAATAGTTAAAATTTTTATTATAATTTAGTTTTTTACCTTTCAATGTTTACCTCGTCAAATTTTTTTTCTATATTTATCTCGTAAAATCGACATCTCAATCAATTTCGTCATTCACTAATTCAGTTAGTTTGACTACAAATATTAATTTTCAATTACTTAAATTTTTGTCCTAAAAAACACACATATTCATGGTTTTTTTTATTTCTTATTTGAGTCGTTGAAAAATAAAATGATAAAAAAAAACAGCAAGCATGTCATCTTTCGATTCAAATATTGTAAATAATCAATTATATTGATTATTTTAATAAATTAACATTCGAATTTTTTAATAAATTACATTTATTATTTAAATACGGTCAGTAATCAATTATAGTTTAAAATAACAATTATCAACATTGCATTGGGAAAAACAAAAACTAAAAGTTGAGTATTGGATCAAATAATCTAAATAAATATAAGAAAACAGAAGACACTGACTAAAGTAGAAAAATAAACCGAAACAAAAAAGAAGCTCAAGCTTTGATGAAAAAAAAAATGGGAGAAAAAATAAGGAAAAACTATTTGTATAGTTGTGAAAATAAAAAGTTACGATAATATAACTTTTTAATGAATTAAACTATACATATTCTAGAAAGTTTTCGAGGGAGAAAAAATTAATTTGAGGATAGTGAAATTTGCAATCATCAAGATAAATTATTTTAAAATAAATGGAAAAATAATGAAGTGACCTGAGAGAGAGAGAAAAGGAAAGAATGAGAAAGAATATATAATAAATTATTTAATTTTTAATTTTGTATCTAATAAATTCATGAAATACTCGACATTTTTTAAATTAATTGATATGATAAACATAAAATTAGATTTTTTTTTCTTGTCTAATATGATCCTAAACTTTTAATTTTGTAACTAATAAATTCGTGAATTTTTCAGAATGCCGATAAGATCAAGGATTTATTAACTACAAAATTGAAAGTTAAATGGCCAAATAACACAAATTTGAAAGTTCAAACCTATTTGATAGATAATTCATATAATATTTTTTGTTTTCTTATTTACTAAATTAAATGGAGTGAAGGAATATCTATTTGGTTGGATTATGTTTCCATAAAATTGTTATGGAATTTTGCAATCTAAAAAGTGAACAAGCACTATTTAGATACTAATAAAATGCATAACAAATATTAAAAAAAAAATTAACGTTTGATTTGAAAAAATGTCAGTATAAAAAAAATTATTTTTTAAAATTTAAAATTTTAGATAATTGTTATTTTCCTAGGCAAAATCATTCGTGCACCGCACGAGACGGCTAACACGCTGACTGACGACATTAACAACTCATGAGCGGAAACTGGCATCGGATATATTTGTAGTATCGGAGTTAATTTCCCACCCCACCCACATCATCTTGTACTAAAAAGGAAAGAATTTTAAATTTAAAAGTAAAAGCTTCTAACGGATACGGAGGATAGGATAACATAACAGAACCTCCTTATTCAGCTCCAAAACATGGATCGATTTGCATGGCAGGGATCAGAGGGAGAGGGAGTCAGATTTTAGGGTTATGGCGCAAGAGATCACATATTAGATCCACCATCTCATCAATCTTACCATCTCCATTTCTCCTCACGATTTCACTCAACTCTCTTACTTTCTTCCTCA